GTGGACCAGTCGAGTGAAGCGGACTGGAGAGGGACCAGTCTGGAACAAAGCACAGCTAAATGGGAACAGAAGAGCTCAAAAACAATATGTTAGGTCCAATGTCAGCCCAATAAGACATCATCCAAAACAAAAGAAAACAAACCAAACCAACTGGTTTACAATCCGACTCAAAACACAAGAAAGAAAATCAAACAGTGGTGGGGTTGCCTCCCCACAAGCGCTTCTTTACCGTCTTTTAGCTGGACGCCCATGGTGGATACTCAGGGAGGTGCAGAAACAGGTGCCTCCAAGAGCGGATCCACGTCGCTCTTGAGGTACAGCTTCAGGTTGTGGCCATGCACCCGACGGATGCGACCACCATCATCGGTCAGCTCGACCTGGCCATCCGGCAGGATGCAGGCGAGTGAGTACCCAGACGGCCAGGGTGGTCGTGGTGCAGGAGGTGGGACCAGCTCATAGTGGTCTCCACCCTTCTTCCGTGCAGGCTTAGCAACCTGCTGCTTGTGCTGCCACTCCTCTTTGAGCTTTTTGGTCGGAGGCGAGGCTGGATGGAGTGGCGGTGAAGGAATGATAGGAGGGTCCTGCAAAATGAGAGGTGCAGAAGGATACACGACAGGCTCGTGTACCTTATCAGAAATGGCATGTACAGGCGTGACAGCAATCATAGCACAGTGGTCAAATTCAGTCACAGAGAAAGTAGCATGTTTATTCCCAGCACGCAGGATCAGTTTACCATCATGCACATCAATAAGTGCCTTGGCGGTGGCAAGAAATGGTCTCCCCAGAATCAAAGGCACATCCACATCCTCATGTATATCAAGAATAACAAAATCAACAGGATATGTGAATGAACTTACATTAACTAGCAGATCCTCTATGATCCCCCTAGGATGCACAGTGGAACGATCAGCTAGCTGAATGCTCATCCTAGTAGGGCTAAGTTCACCTAGGTCTAGCTTTTTATACAACTTATATGGCATGACATTTATGCTAGCGCCTAGGTCCGCCAAGGACTTGCCTACATGCATGCTGCCAATAGTAAGAGGGATAGTAAAACTCCCTGGATCCTTACGCTTCTCGGGCAGCTTGTTCTGCAGGATAGCAGAACACTCCTCGCTCAGCAACATTGTCGAAAGATACCCAAGTTTCTTCTTGTCGGTGAGGAGGACTTTCATGAACTTGGCATACTTGGGCATCTTCGACAGTGCCTCCACAAACGGTATGCTGATGTTGAGCTGCTTCAACATTGCCATAAAATTGGCAAACTCAGTCTCCAACTTGTCCTTGTGTAGGCGAGTGGGGAAGGGAAGCTGGGGTACATGCTCCTTAACCACTGGTTGTGGCTTGGGAGTAGGGGCTTCCTTCTCCACCCGCACTTCTACATCATCGGCTGGAAGTGCTGAAGCAGGTAGTGGTTCCTCCTGTCTGGCCGGGACAGGATCAGCAGATATGGTCTTACCACTCCTGGTAAAAATGGCATCCAGCTGCTGGAGCTGGTGAGGATCCCGAGGATTCGGGATAGTGGTGGCTGGCAGAGTCCCCGGTGCCCTGTTAGTGTTTTGGCGGGCCAAGATACCCACCTGGTGCTGCAGGTCTTGCAAAATGGCACCCTGGTTTCGCTGACCTGCCTCCAGTGACGTGATAGCAGCCTGAGTGCTAGTCATGAAAGAAGCTAGAATATTTTCCAGCTTTGTCATCCGGTCATCTGGGGCAGGGGCTGCTGCTGGCTCGACAAACTGACGCTGGGGCTGTTGGAATGGTTGCCCCTGCCTAGGCTGGTAGGGCTGCTGCTGTGGGGCTTGCCCCTGTCGAGCCTGGAAGGGCTGCCTCTGCTGAAAACCACCTGTTGGTGCTGGGAAACCAGGTGGTTTAGTGGTGTTGCTGCTCCCGGCGAAGTTGGGATGTTGGCGCCACCCCTCATTATATGTGTTGCTGTACGGGTCGAGGCGGTGAGCATTGGCGATGAAGTCCAACTGCTCTTGGGGGGTAGTAGACTCCCTCATAGCCTGGCAGTCTTCCACTAGGTGATTTGAGCTCTCACACTACTGACATTGAGCTACTGGAGGTGTAGCCAAACCTCTGCCCGGAATCAAACTGTTGGGCTGCTTCAATGTCTGCACTAACTCAGCTACCTGCTGCTCGAGCCCGGATCTGGTCTCCATGGCGTGCACACCACGGTCCCGGGAATGTCTGCCTCTGCTACTCTGTCTCCAAGAATGATCTCTGGCAGCCAAGGTATTGATCATCTGGTTTAGCTCGGGTGGAGTCTTAGTAAGAATATCCCCTCCTGGGCATAGAGACTCAATCACCCTCTGGCTGTCCGGAGAGAGAGCACTGTAGAAGTTCCCCACTGTGAATGCATCACTAAAGCCATGATGGGGACACTGCCAGAAATATCCCATGTACCGCTCCCATGCATCACGAAGTGACTCATCTGGCTCTTGGCGGAAGTGAGTGATCTCCCGCTGGATCTCTGTAGTCTTCGATGCCGGATAGTACCTGTGCACGAATTTGTCAGCCAGATCGTCCCAAGAGGTGATGGACAATGGAGGCTGGGTCTCCAACCACCTCTTAGCATTCCCCGCTAGAGAATGGGGGGAGAGATGAAGGCGGATTGCATCATCCGGGACACCATTCAGCTTGAACTCGTTCGTCAGCTGCAGAAAAAGGGAAAGATGCACCCTGGCCTCCTCATCCTTCAAGCCATGGAACTGGATAGAAGATGTAATGAGCTGAATCCAGCATGGCTTGATCTCGAAGTTGTTTGCTGGAATAGGCGGGTAGAGGATGACCGGGCGGATGTCAGCAATCCGAGGAGTGTAGTAGTACTCCAAGGTGGGGCCCGCCGGCGGGTGATGATGATGAACTCCATGATCCTAGGGTATGGGGTTGTTCCCCAGGACCTGATTCGCCGGGGGAGCCTGCTGAGGATTCCCCTGGTGCTGATTGTAGTCTCCGTCCATCCCGTACTCTTCTTCAGAATCGCTACTCAGGTGGCCGTCTATGCGCTCTTCTGTAGCCAGTCTAGCTCGCTGTTGTCTCCTGAGCTGGCGACAGGTGCGGTCAATCTCTAGAATCAACGGCAGTAAACCTCCTGACTGGCTACGGGTCATGCACTACCTGCACACACTCAAGCAAGCAAACCCGTGAACGCACAAGTGGGACAAAGCAAACAAAGCGAAAAGAAAGGCTAAATTAACAGAAATCACTTTTCTTCAACAACCTAGCCGTCCCCGGCAACGGCGCCAAAAACTTGACTCACTTCTACTGTCACCCTAGGAATTGGCCAAGTGTAACCACTTCCTAAAGCGTAGTATAGCGGGTTTGGGTTTAATTTTCAACCCGGGTCCTAGATTTGATGACTACTCAGTGAATTCTTGTTATCTAGCAATAAAACTTTAATGCAAGTCTAAACTAACAAACTAACAAAGCAAGTAAACGGTTGTATTCAGGTTAAGAGAGGTCACCCGGATATGGTTCCCCCTAGACTGCAGTTAAGCCGGATTGTAATTACCAAGTTCAGTTTCTATGAAAGTTATACTGTGGAAGGTTCTTAAACAGCCTGAAGTCTCGACTAAAGGTCTTCAGACCCTCTCAATCTGAGTCTCTAGCGGGCGATTAACCTCCACCAGAGTAAACAGATTGAGGCCTTAACAAACAAAACCTCCACTACCGGAGTGAATCCGGTATAGAATAGTGAGTTTGTTCCTCGACTAAAGTCACCAAATCCCTATCTTCAATCAAGGATGCTCTATCAACCTAGGCAGATATTCTCATTCTAGGTCAAAGCAGAAACAACAGGAATTTGATCACGATTCAAGTCATTCAATCATTCAAACCTCAATCGAATATAATCAAATCATAGAATCAGTACTTGGGTTCATACAATCAAAGCCTAACATACAAATCTAGGGTTCTCCATACCCAGATGAATGGGAGAACTACTCCATGGAGTAAGAAGCAAAAGCAGAATCAGACGCGGAATTCATACTGTGAAGGATGGATTCCTGCTCCTGGACGTTGATCGGCACTTCTCCAAGCTCATGCTGGTCTCCAATGGTGTTGAAGATCAAGCTAGGGCACTTGGAGACTCTTGTTCATCGCTTTCTCTCTCTAGGAACTGATCTCTCTCTCTAAAACTCAAATCCCCTTCTGTTTTGGCTGAAATCTGCTTAAAAGGGCATCAATGGCCAAAGCACGGTCGAGGGCACGGCCGTGTAATGCCTCAGCCCGCCCGTGCTTTGGCTAGGGTTAATTACACGGCCAGTGCATTCAGAGAAACACGGCCGTGCTTTGGAGAGAACACGGCCGTGCTTTGGGAGAACACGGCCGTGCTTTCAGCCCGTGTAATCAGCTCATGTTTGCCAAACTCGAATTAGCTCTCGGCAGTAAAAGCACGGCCACAGAACACGGCCGTGTAATGATTTAGGTGTGCCCATGTTTTGGCTCCAGCTCGACGAAATGACTTCCGAATGCCCCGAAACTCGTGCTTAGCCTTTCCTTTGAAGCCTGGGACCTGAAATATGACAAAATAGCACAACCCGGCATAAAATAGGCCAAAAGTACACGACTATGCCCCTCAAACGGATAAGAACTAGGGGCGCAAATATGTGCAATTACATCGTTATCACCCTCTCACGCCGCCACCCCATTCAACCTCACCTGCAAATAAAAATCTCAAAGAGGAGTGGCGGCCGAAGCCGCAGGTGGCTAAGCCTGCACGAAAGAAAGGTGGAGACCACTATGAGCTGGTTCCACCTCCTGCACCACGACCACCCTGGCCATCCGAGTACTCCCTCGCCTGCATCTTGTCGGATGGCCAGGTCGAGCTGACCAATGCTGGTGGTCGCACTCGTCAGGTGCATGGTCACCATCTGAAGCTGTACCTCAAGAGCGATGTGGATCCGCTCTTGGAGGTGCCTGCTCCTGCACCCCGCTGAGTATCCACCATGGGCATCTAGCTAAAAGACGGTAAAGAAGCGCTTGTGGGGAGGCAACCCCATCACAGTTTTCATTTATTTCTTTTGTTTTGAGTCGGATTGTAAACTGGTTTGGTTTTGGTTTGTTTTCTTTTGTTTTGGATGATTTATTATTGGGCTGACCATTGGACCTAACATATTATGTTTGAGTTCTTCGGTTCCCTTTAGCTGTGCTTTGTCCCTGACTGGTCCCCTCTCCAGTCCTCTTTGCTCAGACTGGTCCACTTCCAGTCTCATGTACTCCGTGCACACCGGTAACATCGTTCCCCTTATCTTTCCCTCTTCTCTATTGAGGGCAATGTCGATCTTATGTGTGTGTGGGGGGGGGGGGATGTTTCTTTTTTGACTGCATTAGATCTGTTTGTGTGCTTGGAGCCTAGTCCACTGTCCAAATTTTTAAATTTGAGGCCTCCAAGTACGTGTTTCCTTGCAAATTGCTTGCTCAGTATGCTTTGAATTGACAGTCTCTAAAGTAATGTGCAACCTAGGGAGGTAGTGTAGCACTATGGAGGATGTTGAAGTATAAGATTTTTCCTATCTAGCTCTCTGCTGTGCCAGTTGATTTTTCCTATCTAGCTCTCTGCTGTGCCAGTTGATTTTGCAAATTGTGGTATTGGTGACTCTATGTGGATTGTGTTATGGACTTGTGTATCGAACAGGGTGCTCATGTGGAAATTGAAAAATGCAGTTGGTCCTCCATGTCAAAATCATCAAAATCTTAAACATGGGGTAAGCCCAACATGTGCGGCACCGTTCATTGCACCAAATCGGGTTTTGGAAGAGATTTTAGGATCCTTAGTGGGGTACTCCTACAAGGTGAAGCTAAGCTGTCTCTAGTACAAGTAAAACTTCCACCCGTTGAACGGTTTGCCTACTTGAGGATGTATTTTTAAGGGCACAGGTAGAGCTTCCGACCCCCCTTAATTTCACTGACCCTCCACACGAGTTGAGGAAAAGGAGTTAAAAGAAGTACTCTGCGAGGGCCAGATGCACAAAAATTGCTCTTGCTCGACTAATAATTTTCGACCGTGTAAGAGACTATAGTTGGAACCCCCGCCAAGTGAATGAAAAAGGAAAAAAAAGTAAAATGAAAGTGGAAAAGGGGTTCCAACGGTGAAATGAAGTGAAAAGAGCACCCCGGTACAACGAGGCCTTGGTTGAGAATAACATGAGTCCCTGTATCCATGAATTGACTGTCTTACTTCTACTTCTTCTCATAATCCTGGCTTGAGTCTAGTACTCGCATTGAGAGAGATAGGGAACGTCTTATAAGACTAGTTGACCTCGTAAGCTGCTTTATGATCTAGAAAATCCTCTACCGACGATCGCGAGTTGCCTTGGTTTGAGTTAGGTTTTCTTGGGGACAAGCAAATGGTTAAGTGTGGGGGAGTTTGATAGACCATTGATTACACATGTTTTTACCCCTATCCTTGAGCCGTTTGAGATGTCGATTCTCGCGTTTTAGGCCGATTTCAGGCTAGGTGGTTCTTGTTTTTGATATTTCAGGTCCTAGTACGTGACTGAAGGTTTATGAACGAGTTCGGGGTCGATTGGACGAAGTTTGGACGTTTGGCGAGAAGCTGGGAAGCCACACAGCCGTGTGGGTCGTGGCTGTGTAGGAAGCCTGAAGCCACTTATCAAAACGCTGCGGTTTGCACAACTCACACGGGCAGCTGGGGATGTCACACGGCCGTGTGGCCTGACCGTATGAGTCTGGATTTTCTGGTTTTAAGCCAATTTTCAGCAAAAGAGAAGGAGTTCCGAGTTTTAGAGAAAGAAAGTGATTCCTAGAGAAAGAGAGCGACAAACCAGAGTTCCCAAGTGCCCTAACTTGATCTTCATCACCATTGGAGCCCGGCTTGAGCTTGGAGAAGTGCCGATTGATGACCAGGAGCAGATTCTCATCCTTCACAGCATGATTTTTGCATCTGAACTTGCTTTTGCTTCTCTCTCCATGGAGTAGTTTTCCCATTCATCTGGGTATGGAGAACCCTAGATTTGTGTGTTAGGTCTGATTGTATGAACCCAAGTACAGATTCTATGATTTGATTATATTCAATTGAGGCTTGAATGATTTAATGACTTGAATCCTGATCAAATTCCTGTTATTTCTGCTTTAGCCTAGAAAGATAGAGCACCCTTAATTGAAGGTAGTGAATTGGCGACTTTAGTCGAGGAGCCAATTCACTATTCTGTACTGAATTTACTTCAGTAGTGGAGGTTTGGTTCGTTAGGGCCTCAATCTGTTTACTCCGGTGGAGGTTAGTCGCCCGCTGGGGACTCAGATTGAGAGGGTCTGGAGACCTTTAGTCGAGACTTCAGACTGCTTAAGAACCTCCCACAGTATAACTATCATAGAAACTGAACTTGGTAAATTGCAATCCGGCCTAACTGCAGTCTAGGGGGAACCATATCCGGGTGACCTCTCTCGACTTGAAAACAACCGTTTAATTGCTTTGCTTGTTTTCCTTGTTTGAACCTGCACTAAAGTTTCACCGCTAGATAATAAGAATTCACTGAGTAGTCATCACATCTAGGACCCGGGTTGACATTAAAACCCAAACCCGCTATACTACACTTTAGAAAGTGGTTACACTTGGCCATTTTCTAGAGTCACAGTAGGAGTGAGTCATCCACCTAGCCCAATTAGTACGAGACCTTTTCGGGAGGACACCCAAGAGTAAAACCGTGTGGGCTTGACCCAAAGCAGACAATATCGTACTAATTGAGTAGCCCGGTTTAACAAGTGGTATCAGAGCCTGGTTTCGGTGCGGGGCGGTGGACGTCAGTTTGGTGGACCCTCATTCAGTGGCCTCGGGATTTGAGATGCGTTTGTCTGGCAGGTCAAAAGTGATTCGCGTCTGTTTGGTGGATTCAAGAGAGATCCACGTTTGGGTTTGGCAGATCAAAAAGAGTTCCGCATTTGGAAAGCAAATCAAAGAGAGTTTCGCTTATGGCAAAGTCCTTGTAGCGAGAAGCTCATGGATACAAGGCGTTTGGCAGATCAAGATAATCGCTGACGTGAGGACACGGTTTTCGTGGTCCTTGTCTTGAGGGAAGGTTTGTTAGGGTACAATCCAAGTACCACATCGGTAATATAAGGGAATGAACCCTTGTATATTAGTGTCCACCTTGCCCAATTAGTACGAGGCCTTTTGGGGAGTACACTCAAAAATAAAACCATGCGGATTTGGCCCAAAGCGAACAATATCGTACTAATTGAACATCCCGATGTGCGACAAACCAACTAACCAACCATTTGCAGCACTGCAATATAAAATCTACAAATAGCAATTATTAAACTTTTAACAGCTTGAAACTTTGAATGGACTGCAAGTCTGCAACTATATCTATTTTTTAGAAGAAAAAATGCAAATTATAATATTGTTGGCCCTATCAATGGGTCGTAAGATGAAGAAACTGATTGCAAATAGTTGTGCTTGCGACGAAAACAAGGAGACAAGGTACCGGCCCCTCTCCCCTGCGAATCAAAGTGAGGAAGAAAACACGGGATAATACGTTAACGGTCCATTGTATAAAGAATTGTAAGTATCCATTTAATTTAATTGTCTTATTTTTAAATAATTGAATTAAATTAATTTGTTTGTAAGTAAAAAATTTGGATGTAGTCATTTGGTATGAGAATTTCGAATTTATCCGTTTTAAGTTAAACTTCAAATATCTAAGATGAACACAAATAATTCAAATTGACTCGTTTTATATCAATTAGTCAAATCGTCTCGTTCTGAACTTAAAAGCCTCTAAACTTTAATTCATAATATAAAAACCATAGAACTTTTAAACATTATAAAAGATAGACTTGAATTCAAGTTATTAGAAGTTTAGATAAAATAGATTATTAAATTTACTCGGATTTCATAGCTGGTGTTAATGCGACAGATGTGTTGCAGATGCATATGAGTTACGCACGAGGTCAATTTGTGTAAGTGATTCGATAATCATATACGAACATAATGCATGCTAATGTTTCGTAAAGATGGTTTTCTTCTTCAATAATGTAAGATAAAAAAAAGTTGTGCCAGACTTACAATAACAAGTCTGATTTTCTTGTGCACGTCATAGTAATATCAAAGGTTGAATCATATATAATAATATAAAGTTCACCATTAAGTTTAACAATTAACTCAATATTCAGGACTTGTTATGAATGATTAATGAATTGTCGGAAAGGTATAGGTTAAATTGCAAGTTTGGTCACTTAAATTACTAATAAAGTTCACGTTAGCCACTAGAATTATTTTATTTCATTCGTAGTCACTTAAATTAGGTTAACAATTCAAGTTTGGTCATTGGCTGACTGATTGTTAATCTCCGTTAACTTTTGCTGAGGTGACAGTCAACTTTCATAATTAACCGTTAAATAGGTGACGTGGCAATTAAGAATAAAATAAAAACAAAATTTAATCTATTAAAAATTCTACCTATTTATCATAATAATTAAAAAATAAAATTATAATTATCAAAATGAAAATGCAAATTTTCTTCCCCCAATCCCACAGTCGTCTACCCTGTCGCCGGCGATCACCGCTTTCTTTTCGACCTACTCAAGCGATCCTAACTAGAACAGCACGAAAGCAACCAAGTCAGGGCAAGCGTCGACGCAGAATCAGGCTGCCAGAATTCAGGGTCGGGAGCAGAGCAGCAGCAAGCTGCGGCAGATTCTTCTTCTTTCTCCTGTCCTTCTTCTTCTCCGCTAGTTAACCAGGCCGCCAAAGTTATCCGTGAATTAGGAGCATAAGCAGGGTCGGGTTGCTTCTTCTCCTTCTCAGCTTCAATTCTCACCAAGTAGTCTTTGGACATGAGGAATCCATTATATTCCCGTCGGCTTCTTGAATCACATCCATATAATTTGGGGTGGTTCGATTTGCGATGTAGATCCAGAAAGCTCTGTTATCCCCGGGCGTTGATCGGTGGCTGGATCTCACAAAAATGGAGCCGAACAAAGTATGTAAACGAAGAATCCACCGGAAAACTCCATCTGATCCGGCCGACGCCATCACCGGTCGGAATCTTTCTCTCCCATTCTTCATCATCACCACATACAATACAACTGCTGCTTCATCGACAAAAACGCTTGCGGCTGAGTGCTAGGAGCTTCTGTCCAGCTAGCCGGGACAGTCCAGATGCTAAGAGCGGTCGTCATTTCTTCTCGGATTTTAGTTGCTCGCTTTGCGGGATGGTGTGTTTACTTTTTGGGGCGGCAACGAGAATCCAAACTTGGCCAACACTTCCCTGGTTGATGGCGGCAGAGGAATATCATGCAATTGAATCCGTCGGAGACGACGAATTTTTTCTCCAACGCGGCGCACAGCCACTTCGATCGGCAGTGTGCAGATGGGAAACCTATTGATGGGTTATTGGAACTTAGATACGTGTTGTATGATACAGGGGAAGAGGTTGGTCTCTCCTCGTTTCGTTTGCTTGAAATCGCAGGGAAGAAAAGAAGTTGACGATTGCGAAATCACCGGCAAAGGAACAGAGCTTGTGGTGGATGTTGAGCCCCCCGACGCTCTGCAACTTATTGTTGGTGGCAGTGGTGATCGGCGGTGGATGAAGGTGGAAAACTCATATTTTGATTTGGAAAGTGGGGAGCGGAAGAGAATGAAGCCAATTAACTAATTTTTTTTACAATTCGTAACTATGTTTTATTTTTTTTTAATTTATTGGAATAATGAGGTGAAATTTCTAAAATATTAATTATATTTTTTAATTATCACGTCACCTATTTTAACAGTTAACTATGAGAGTTGATTGTTACCTCAGTAAAAGTTAACGAAAACTAACGGTCAATTTCCAAACTTGAACTGTTAATATAAATAACTACAGATGAAATAAAGTAATTCTAGTGGCTAACATGAACTTTACTAGTAATTCAAATTACCAAACTTGTAATTTAGTACCAGAAATTATGTTTTAGCACCTATATACTCTATATTACAGTTTGATGCATAAACTTTAATTTCTTAATGAAAAATAGTTTCTAGAAATTATGTTTTGGTATCTAAAATTTTATAAATGACATTTGATTATCTAAAATTTTCCTTTTCTCTTATTTCCATATGCCCCATGCCCACCCCAACCTTCCAAGGACTGAGAATCTATGGACCGGCCGATCCGACCATGTCAAGCGCTTTAGTGGTCAATTCTTGTTACCACAGCTTGACAGCTTTCCAATTAGTATAAAGACGTACCAAAAACAAACAACTTTGGATTCTCATAAGCAAATTGAAGGGAAGTAAAAGAGAATAACAATAATTATCGTGTCCATATATAGTTTGTGAATTAGCTTTCACCGCCGGCGACAGGGAAACGACGACTTCCAAGGAGATGGAACAACCAGCGCCGGAGATCCAGCTTCAAGTTTTGGGTAAGCCCTCAATTCAAAACTTCAGCAATATTAAGACTAGAGATATAATTGCTCAAGTTAATTAATTTTAACTGCACTAATTAATTAAGCAGGCGATAAAGAAGAGACGATGAAACAAGCATTTGGAAGCATGAGAGTGATGCTGAAGCAGCAGAGCAGCCGGAAAGTGAACTGGTGGTGGTGGCTCAAAATCGCACTCTACGCTTTCAGTGTGTTGTTGGGACAATCCGGCGCCAACTTACTGGGGAGGCTCTACTTCCTCAAAGGCGGGACCAGCAAATGGATATCATCAGTCGTCCAAGTCGTCGGCTTCCCCATCCTCCTCCCCTTCTACCTCCTCGCTACAACCGCCAAACACGACGACGACGACGGGAAACCGCCGCCGTCACCATACACTCTGGGCGCCATCTACGCGTCCCTCGGCTTAATTATTGGGATCAACTGCTTCTTCTACTCCGTCGGCCTCCAGTACCTCCCTGTCTCGACTTACACCTTGTTGTGTGCTTCTCAGCTAGCATTCAACTCCTTCTTCTCCTACTTCATCAACGGCCAGAAATTCACCGCTTTCATCGTCAATTCCCTCGTCTTGCTCACGATTTCCTCCGTCCTGCTCGTATTTAACAACGAGGAATCTGCTTCCTCGTCGTCGGCTCCTCCCATCCCGAGGGCCAAGTACGTCATCGGATTCTTCTCCACGTTGGGAGCGTCGGCTCTGTTCGGGCTGGTGCTGTCCGCCACGCAGTTCGTGTTCGTCAAGGTCATCAGGCGGCAGACGTTTAGGCATGTGATGGACATGGTGATCTACGAGAACTTGGTCGCCAGCGTGGTCACCGTTGTGGGACTTTTTGCCAGCGGGGAAAGGAAGGGGCTAAGCACTGAGATGGAGGGGTATGGACCGGGGACGGTGTCGTATTTGATGACTTTGATTTGGATTGCTGTGTTCTGGCAGATGTATGCTCTTGGGGCTTTGGGCTTGATCTTCGAGGTGTCTGCGTTGTTCTGTAATTCGATAAGCGTCGTGGGACTGCCGATTGTTCCGATCGCGGCGGTCTTCTTTTTCCACGACAAGATGAGTGGGGTCAAAGGGATTTCCATGGCGTTGGCGATCTGGGGGTTCATTTCGTATGCGTATCAGTACTATGTGGATGATCGGAACTCCAAGGTTGTTGGGAAGTCAGTTGTCGATGAGACTTCTGCTCCAGGTTCCGAATGAAAACATCTATCATCAACGTTACGTTGTAATGATCCGTTCACCTACCGTTGTAAGTCGGGCAAAATGTTTAAATATAATATTTTACAAGTGGTACTAATCAAGTTCACAATGAAAGAAAATGACGCCAACTTGGTAATGATAAATATTTGATATATTTATCCCATTTAACTTCTCATTTTCTTTGCTACATTTGGCCACAAGGGTGTAAGTTCGAGGAGTGCAAATTGATGGGGTGTAACTTGGTGGGGGTGCAAGTGGATGGGTATATTGTTGTTTGAATGAAAAAAAGGAGGGGCAAATAGAGTGAAAAGTAAGTAGTTATATTAGTATAAAATATATTTATCAAATCTATAAAACATTATTACAAAATAGTATAAACAAAAATCAATATATAATAATAAAAATTATTATTATATAATAATGCTCAAATAATAATTAATTATAACAACACTAATTAATTTATGAGATATATGACTAATTACTTATCTGATTGATTTGGTTTGATTGGTTAGCAGTGTTTGAAACCAAACCAAACCACCTAAACTAAACAAATTATATTATTCAAATACTACTACGACAGAGTACTCGAAGTTGTCCCACTACAAGAAATGACAAAGTCTCTACTATGAAAGTTGTCCCAAATTATAATCGATTCAACATCTCAATATAACCCAGATTATATGAATAACCTGTCATTTCACAATTAATATCATTATAAATTACTCTAGAAACGCATTTATCTATCATATATATCACAAACTCAGAAACAATACTCAATACTCATTTCACAATAACGTCACATACCAGTACTAGCCACTAGCTAGTGTCATTGCACTTGCCAACATTAATAATAATAATAATATATAAAAGTCAAGATTTGGTGTTATTATTCATTAATTTCTCTCACACTCCTAATAATTGGGCAAGTTTCAAGTTCCATTTTTTACCCCACGCTCTCATTCTACAACCTTTGTGTTCATTTATTTTATGCTAGGTCAACATCTATTGCCCATTAGGTTTCATCTATTGTTCATTGTGTTCCCTATTGCAACAATTATCATTAGGTTTTCGTCTATGATCTTTCGCCCAAATCATCGCCTTGGCCACCAATTCGCAACCCATCTCGAAACACTATCGATGAAATCATAAGTTGTCCTCTTCCACCGTTTGCCACAACCTGCTACCGAAGATCCATGCCATATCTCGACATACTTTTAGTGGAATCCTAGGTTGTCCGAAGACTGTAAAATCCATACCAACATGCTCTGTGTTGCCGAGTTTTGTATCGGGAGTTTTATATTCTTTTGTGTTTTCTTATTTCTCTTTTTCTTTTGGTTAAGCATGACAATTGAACTCAAATTCACTTTTGGTTAAGCATGACAATTAAACTCAAATTCATGGGAATTCAACCTATATTAACCTAATTCGACCATGTCAAAGCGAATTGACTCGACTTTAGTAATTTTAAATTTCTATTTTTATTTTCTTTAAGAATGAATTGAACCCAAACCCATGGTGTTGACGATTTTGTATCGAGATCGAGTTTTATCCCTTTTTGTAGTTGGCATGTTGGGTCGAGTGCCGGTCAAAGCGAGCTGAACATGGTGTTTATGAGTTTTGGATCGAGAGCGAGATTTATCTGTTTAATGTTGTTTTGTTTTTCCATTTCCTTTGCGTTGAGAATGACAATTGAAGCAAGACTCAGTGCTGCGAATATTGTATTGAGAGCGAATTTTATCCGCTTTTAGAATTGCCATGTTAAGCCGATTGTGAATTGTTAAAAACTCAGTTTGAACGAGTTGAACTTAGTGTGTAGAGTTTTTGGTTTGGAATGAGTTTTATCCGCTTTAGTGTTTTTTATTTATATTTTTCCTTTTAGTTGAGAACCCATGGTATTGACGAGTTTTATTCGCTTTTGTAGTTAGCATGTTAGGTCGAGTTTGAATTTGTTAAAAACTCGATTCGACCTGGTCAAAGCGAGCTAAACACGCTGTTGACAAGTTTTGGATCGAGAAGGAGATTTGTCTGTTTAATGTTATTTTCTTTTTTTGTTTCCTTTTCGTTGAGAATGGCAATTGAAGCAGGACTTGGTGCTGACAAGTTTTGCATCGAGAGCGAATTTTATTTGCTTTTAGCATTGGCATGTTGAGCCGACTGTGAATTGTAAAATACTCGTTTCGAACCAATGAAGGCGAGGTGTACTTGGTATGGAGAGTCTTTGGTTTGGAACAAGTTTTATCCATTTTAGTGTTTTTATTTATCTTTTCCCTTTTAGTTAAGAACACAAACGTATAGGTATCCAATCTAATTTAACTTGATAAAAATGAATTGAATAGATGTTGACAAGCTTTCAGGAAGGAGTAAGTTTTATTCGCTTTTGTAATTGGTGGGTCGAGTCGTTTGTGAATTTGTTACATACTCGGTTCAACCAGATCAAAGAGAGTTGAACATGATGTTGCCGAGTTTTGGGTCTTGAGTGAGTTTTATCCACTTTAGTGTTTGTTAATTTCTGTGCGGGTGTGAGTTTTATATGCTTTTTTGATTGTCTAGCCGGGTCGGTTGTGAATTTGTTACAAACTCAGTTCAACCCCAAACAAAGGGAGTTGAATATGATGTTACCGAGTTTTGGGTCATGAATGGGTTTTATCCGCTTTAGTGTCTCTTTTTCTTTTTGGTTGAAAATGAAGTTGCAAAAAAACAAAGCAAAAAAATACAAACTAATCAATAGTGTTACGAGAGAATATTTAACATTTTATACCCGATTCCCTTGGGAGTTTGTAGCATTTGGACTCCTAAAAGGGTGGTTTTACGCTAGGTTTTGTGCGTTTTAGTGTGTTTCAGTATCCAACAGGTGAAACCAGCACCCGAGTCGGAAGTTGGACGAAAAGAGGCGAAGACCGGGCAAAGAGGGTGATCCAGGCGGAGTTCACGGGTTAGCATTGGAGTTCACGGTCCACTAGTCTCATGGTGTATTCCATATCCGAAAGGTAACTTGGAAGAGGGATGATTCGAAGATGAGGAAGAAGGAGAATGATTCGTAAAATGGAGAAATAGAAGAATGAATATTGCCTTTGGGTAGGTCACATACTCAATGGTAAATTTGTCTAATTCTCTATTCGACGTTTACGAAGTGCTAGACAAATATGGATTTGTCTAGTGGTTTGATGGTGTGTGGTTTTGTCTAAGTGGTTCATGTTAAACCAAGGAGACAAAATTGTATATACAATGTTTGATGATTCTAGTAATAGAGTCGTTGTGTTTGTATGTAGATGACATATTTATCTTTGACAAATCAAAGATAAGTGATTTTATCTTGGTTTATGTTATTTTAAACCAAGGAGACAAAATGTATATAAAATTTATGATGATTCGGGTAATGGAGTCATTGTACATTTTTATGTATATGACATGCTTATCTTTGAGACCAATAAAAGATAAGTGAACTTTTGATAAAAGTTGTTATTTAAATTCTCCATGTGGGACATGGGGGAGGAAAATGTGATTATGTGTATTGAATCAAGAGGAACGACAAAGAAAATCATTCTCTCAATTTTTCTGCATGAGAAGGTACTTGAAAAAAAATAATCATAGTAGGAATTGTCGTGATTTAAGAACCCCAATGATCCAAGTATGGAACTTATAGTTAATACTGGCCAACCAGTTTTTAACTGGAGTATTCCATGTTAACTTGGGTGCTTGATGTATGTAATGACTTGCATAAAACCATATATCGCGTTACGGTATGATAATCCTAGTGCTCATCATTTGGCATGAAACGAGGCTTGTACGAGGATATCTCAAAGGCACATTGTATTGACTTATAGTGGTTTTCCATCCATTTTGGAAGGATTTATTGATGCTATTTGGATTTCTCATGTTAAAGGAGATACTTCAACATTGAGATGGGTCCTCTTGCTTGGGAGAGGTGCTATATTTTTGGCCTCTAGAAAGCAAAATTGCATCACTAAATTTCACTATGGAGTCAAAGTTTGTGGCCTTGATTTGTCTTAGAGAAAAGACATTATTGATGAGATGCTTGGTTTATGACATTAATTTATGGCAAAACCAATCTCACCTATTACTATTCTTAGTGATAGTAATGCTAATTTGGCTAAGGTAGTCAAGTGAAAATGACAAGTACGGTCATGTGGGAGTAAGGCACGGTAAAAGCTGTGAACTGATCATTCATAGTGTTGTGTCTAGACAGTATGACCAGACTCGCAATAATTTGGTTGATCATTTGACGAAGTGGTTAACTAGTGACTTGGTGATCAAGTCTGTGAAAGGGATGGGTTAAAGTCCATATAATTTCTGATCATGGGATACTCAATTCCCCTCTAATACAACGTTAGAGGCTGAATTCAATGTGGAAAGCTAATTCTCAGAAATTGAAGCACAAAATTTGTCATCCCAAGGTATGTGCTTGTTATCCTGCATGAGAGAAGAGGATGAAGTTCAAAACTTCTTAATTGAATCTTTGAAAAAGTGTATTATGCGGGTACACGAATAAGAGATTCAACCTACGTAACTATGAAGTGTAGCCGATTCAAGAAACCAAGACTTTGGTTTCGTGTGCGCTTATGAGAAGGAATGGACACATGGCGGGTAATAGTGTCAAGGCGCTTAGAAGTTTTGAAAACTTAAGTGTATAAATTATCTTCGAATATTCATATGAGTCATTGGGTTCAATCGTTACCGACACCCTTTGTATTCTAATATTTGTCAAGTGTAATATACTAAGATGAAAATTCAATCGTCACGACATTTTCATTTATGCTTAAGTTTTGTTGGAAGAATATTGTAATTTTAGTGAATTCGTAGAATACACTAAAATGGGGGAGGATTGTTGGAATTTGGTTAAACCAAATCAAATGGACCAGTCACAATGGATTTGGCTGGACCGAATACCCAATTGATGATTGAATTACATGGCCTTTTTTCATCAAGAGACATGTCTCTTGAATGAAATTATGTTTTAATTAAATTAGTCCAACTCTAATTGGACGGTTTGCATTTATATAAATGCATGTGGGCCAAATCAAATTTGCATGCACAGTTTTGCAAGGTACATGGACAATTATATTAAAACATTGTAAAGGTTCATGGCCACGTTTCATTTAAATTGAAAAAAGTGAAATGGTGTGTTCTTCCCAACCGGCCACAAATTGGAAAGATACAATCTTTCAATGTAGCGGTTCATCCTCTATAAATAAAGAGCACTCCGCTGGTGGTTAAATGCACTATGAATGGATTTCATTCATTTTCTTCCTAGTAAAACTTCTAAGTATGCTTTAGCTTCTTAAATCTAGATTCTAAAGTGGTGATAGTTTTATCCTACGAAAAAATTTCCTGTAACCCTAGGCTTGTTGAGGGTGGAAATATTTTTTACGGAAAGTGAACGTTGTTCATGACTCTATCATAATCCTAGTCCCTAAAAGTCCCAACACGGTCCTTGTGTTAATTGCCAATAGCCATTTGAGATTCGCCACTTTGTGCCCTTTGAATTGTCCCCAAAGAACTTTGATAGGCTGAGTTTTTACCTTGCGTGAAATAGTTTGCTTGGGGACAAGCAAACGTCTAAGTGTGGGGGAGTGATTCGGGCCTAATTGCACACATTTTATCTCCGTTTCCCTTGGACGTTTGTAGCATTTGGACTCCTAAAAGGGTGGTTTTATGCTAGATTTTGTGCGTTTTAGTGTGTTTCAAGATCCCATAGGTGAAACCAGTCCCGAAGTCGAAAGTTGGATGAAAAGAGGCGAAGACTGGGCAAAGAGGGTGATCCAGGCGGAGTTCACGGGTTAACATTGGAGTTCACGGTCCACTATGGCCATGAACTGAAGCCCAAAACCGTGAATCGCGATGCGTCCATGGAGAAATCCGCAGTTACTACCGCGATACGAGTTCATGGTCAACAAGACTGTGAAGATTGAGGCCAAACCGTGCACTCCTAATGGCGAAGCGATGCGTTACGACATCGCACTCTGTGTTCACGGACGCTTTGAAGAGTTCACAGCCGTGAACTGAGCCCAATCTTGGTATATAATGTGAGCTGAAAGGAAGAGAGAGGGGGAGCCCAAGAGTGAGAAAGTGTCTTCTTCTTCAGATTTTAGAGAGAGAAAAAAACGAACCAAGGAAGAAAGAAGGCTAGGGTTTGCTCCAAGTGGTGTATTGGGAAGATTCTCCCCAAGAGAAGATCAACACAAGCTCAAAGGAGATTGGAGGCATCACTATGATGGTTTCTACCTCTTCCTTTTGTGTTCTTCTCCTTTCTAGCATGTAGTAGTTTCCCTTTTCACTTGAGTGTTGTGAAACCCTAACTATTTTGCCATGTAGTTGTTGTGTGAATTGAATAATTGTTTATGGGTGTTGTTTAATTCAATGATTGAGGTATTTTTCATGTTGATTGTGAATGTTTGTGCTTAGCAATCTAATTGGCCATTCTAACCTAGATTAGAGGGAAGACCCCCTTTCAAGGGAGGCTCAATTGAGTTGGGATTCTTTGGGCTTTTTAAGCCACCTATCTAGGTTAATGTAGGGCAAACCTCTATGTTGAATTAAGCAATTTGGTTAAGCGCGATTAAGCCGACCAACCATTGGGTTGAGTGAGAGAGTAAGTCAACCATCGATTGCCTTAACCTAGAGGGCTACTTGAGTAGCCTATAATGTATCCCTTGGTTTCGCAAACGAGAGTGTGGCCTACGACCATAGTTGCGTTTCCTAGCGGTTCGCGGTCACCTTGCTCGTAACAATTAATTCAATTCCTCGTGCCATGGTAGTAGATAGGGGGAAGCGACACCCAAGTGATCCTTCTCACATAGTGCTTTCAAAACTATTTACTTTTGCCTTGCTTTACTTTAATTAGCAAAATTTTCAACCAAAACCAATTCGTTAGATAATGTTTCAAACAATTGAAGTAGGGGTACACGTGCCGGCCCGAGTCGATATTTAAACATACTTGCCCTGTATTGCAACCTACTAAGGTTTATACTTGGATTTTAGGCGGGAATTAATTGTGATACTCGGGACAAGTCAACGACCCTTCTCGCTAATTAAAGTTAATCGCTGCATTAACTACAGGAAGATGTAGATGACAAGCCCACTTTTCGATCAAAATTAAAACTATTAATCTTTAGAATAGCATGTTGTCGCTCACACGCGAAGCGATAGCGAGCGTCCTTATCCTACTTTCAATATAACCCGGATTATATGAATAACCTGTCATTTCACAATTAACATCATCATAAATTACTCTAGAAACGCATTTATCTATCACGAACTCAGAAACAATACTCAATACTCATGTCACAATAACGTTACATACCAGTAGTAGCCACTAGCTAGTGTCATTGCACTTGCCGGCCATCCAAGTACTGCTGACAGAGATAAGAAAGAAACCCCCAAACAGCCAGCACCATCGCAATCGCCTTCACCCCCGTCATCCTATCATCAAAAACCACCACCGCCAGAATCGGCACCAGCGGCAGTCCAACCGTACCCACAGCGTTAGAGAACACCGGACTCACCTCAAAGACCAGCGCCATCGTCCCCACCGCCATAACCTGCCACGTCACGCCGATCCAAACCAATGTCATAACGTACGACGTCGTCCCCAACTCATACTCTGCCATCTCCTTCCCCAAACCCTTCCACTCCCCGCTCGCCAACAACCCCACAACCCCAATCCCGCTCGCCACCATCCCTTGAAACAGCAACATGTTCATCACAATGCTCAAGCTCTGCGCCTTCAACACTCTCCTGAACGCGTACCTGTCAGGAAAACGAGAATATAATAATTCACTTTCTCACGTTAATCTTTTTCGTCATTTCACAAAATTCAAACTCAATTAATTATTCGAAATTACTAAATCAAAAAATTAATTAATATTCAAAAGTTCAACTCCGAACGCGTATAAATATAACACACTTTCCCCAATAACCTATAGTTAGTAAAATACGGTACAAGAAAGTTATGTAGAAAATTCGTATGGATATTTTACTTCGTCTCTAAGTCAATGTTATGTTTAATAGTATGTTAATAGTCACAAATATAAAATATTAATTAATTTGAAATATATATATAAACAATAGTAAAGTAAACAATTTAATTCATTAAACATATATATTAAACGTGTTATCCGGATTTTATACGTGTTTAGTACGTGAGCCATTAAATAAACTAAAAATGAAATATTTTGACAATAATATGAATACAAAAGTTTAAAATGGATAAAATACATACTGGTACATATACGTGCATTAAATGGAATCTTTACTAATTATGCAAAAACCCACTTACCTCTTTATTAAATAAAATAAAGTTGACAGCAAACTAAAATATCGCTTGCACTTTCCTTCTTCCATCCATATGGTATTTTCACTCACTCTTTTGACCATAATTAGTAAAATATGGTACGGGAAAGTTATGTATAAAATACATACAAGTATTTTATTTCGAAGCTAATGTTACGTTTAATAGTACATTAATAGTAATAAATATATATATATAAGTATTTTAAAATAAATAAATATATAAATAATAGTAAAGTTAACAATTTAATTCATTAAATACGAATATTAAACGTGTTATATGGATTTTATACGTGTTTAGTACGGAAACCATCAAATGAACGGGGAAATGAAACGTCTTGACAATAATATGGATATAAAAGTTTTAAACGAATAAAATACATATGAGTATATATACGTGTATAAAATCGAGTATTTACTAACTATGCTTTTGACTACTCTTCAAACACTTCGATGGACGCGTACGTACCCGGAGACGGCAAACACGAGGCCCGCCCCTGCCGCAGAGGCGAGGGTGCAGACGAACCCTAGCGTGTACTTGGCCTTGGTGATTCCCCGGGGGTCGGTGGTGGGGTCCCCGGCGAAGACGAGGAGGACGGAGGAGACGGTGAGGAGGAAGAGCGAGTTGGCGATGAGAGGAGTGAGCTTTTGGGAGTTGAGGAAGTAGGAGAAGAAGGCGTTGAATGCCAGCTCGGATGACGTGATGAGGGCTGACGTGGAGACGGGGAGGTAGTCCATGCCCGTGGAGTAAAGATACGTGTTTCCGCCTGCGAGGATGCCGACAATTACGTAGAATGCTCCGTGCGTTAAATTGGAGGCGGCCGAATTTTGATCCGGTTGGTTATTACTGTGGCGGCGGTTGGTGTAGATGTAGTAAGGGATGAGGAGGGGGAAGCCGGCGAGCTGGACGGTTGTGGAGAGCCATTTGCTGGTTCCGCCTTTGACGTAGTAGAGCCTGGCGAGCAGGAGGTAGGCTGTTTGTGAGGTGAGTATGACGGCTGGGTAGGTTAGGACTTTTAGCCACCACTTGATTTGTTTAGCCTTGGAGACGACGCGTTCTTGTTGTGGCACTGCTGCTGCTTCGTCGTCTGATTCTGGAAAAATAAAGTGCTAGAACTTTTAGCCACCACCACCTGATCTCGAGGCGTAAAATTTTGAGCTGGCGAACTCACTTACTTACCCGTGATAGCTTGCAGTTCAACGTCTTCATGGTGATCTTTTGCCGCCATTGGGAGAAGATGGAGAAAGGATGGTTTGAGGGACGATAGGCAATGTTGGGAAAGCTATAACCTTTTTTTGTCCAGTGAAAGAAAAAGAGAGATGGCTTTGCTTTATCCTGTCCCGTGTAACACAACTGGATAGCAATTAGCAGGTGGGAGACTGAGTGGAGTAGTTAGATTTAGTAGTAATTAGTATCCGGCCCGCCAATAGTAGTTAATTAAAAAAAATATGACAATTATTATCGAATCTAAGATTTGGTTACGTAATATGGTAACTGAAATACTAAAGTTAAAACGTAAATTACAAAATTATCCTTATTAATAAAAGAACAAAACAACACACCAAACAGTACCGGCAAACTCCTATCTCACCGCCGGCAAACTATTCCCTTCCCGTTTCGCCGGCGAAGAAGCATGTCCAGGCATGTACCAACCACCCCTGTTCGCTGCTTAATCGCCGGAAGAAAAGCCACCCCTTAATCCTACGGAAGAAGAGAAGCCCTGTCTCAATCGACCCTAGCATCACCATGTTGGAAATAATAAAATTATTTCCTTTGTATTATATGGTGGGCACGTTTGGGAATGGAAGTTATTTTTTTGTGGGTTTTTTTAATTTGGAAATGGTGGAGGAATTTTGATGGAAGGCTAGGTGGCAGAGAGAGTTTGAGAAAGGGAGCACTTTCTTTATTGACTTCTTTCTTTTCTTTTTTCTTGCTCTACTTCACAAACTAACATGGACAAGCCTATTTATAGGCTTCAAAGTGTACAATATCTCCAAAATATCTGCATCAACCGCCATACACATGTGGCCTTCTTTTTCCTGATTTTTGTTTAATCACAACTAACTTATTAATTGCAAACCTAACCATTTCTAGATTCCTCTAGCAAACTACCACGTTAGTATCTTCTAGGCTTTCAAGATTTGTTATTTTTATTTTATTAATAATTAAACTTTAATTTTCAACACTCCCCCTTAAAGTTTAATTCGTTATTACTCCGAGTAGCGTCCTCATCTTGACGAACACGTCTTGCTTCAGTGGCTTCGTGAAAATATCAGCAATCTGGTCTTCAGTCTTCACATACTTCAGCGTCACCTCTTTCTGCTCCACGCATTCTCTCAAGAAATGATATCTTGTATCAATATGCTTACTGCGATCATGAAATACCGGGTTCTTTGCTAGCGCCAGTGCAGACTTGTTATCAACAAAAATTTCAGTTGACTCTTCATGTGTCATGTTCAACTCCTTCAGCAACTTTCTCAGCCATATCGCATGACACGCACACGATGTCGCAGCAACATACTCAGCTTCACAAGTTGACAGTGTCACGATAGCTTGCTTCTTTGAACTCCATGTGAAAGCTGTATCTCCCATGAAAAATACAAATCCTGTAGTGCTCTTGCGATCATCCACATCTCCTTCCCAATCACTATCGCAGTATCCAACCAATTTGAAATTTTCTGACTTAGTATAAAGCAGACCATGATCGATTGTACCTTTAATGTAGCGCAGTATCCTCTTTGCAGCATTCCAGTGTGACATAGTTGGCGCTTTCATGTATCTGCTGACTAATCCAACTGCGTAGAGAATATCTGGTCTGGTACAAGTCAGGTATCTCAGACTTCCCACCAGGCTTCTAAACTCCGTTGAGTTTACCTTCTCTCCTTTGTCATCCTTGGATAATTTCAGTCCACACTCTGCTGGTGTGCTCACAGGATTACAATTCTCCATCTTAAACTTCTTCAGGACCTCTTTGGCAAAACCACCCTGTGAGATGAAAATTCCTTCCTCTTTTTGATTTACTTCAATTCCAAGATAATATGACATTAATCCGATGTCTGTCATCTCGAACTCACGAACCATCGTCTTCTTGAACTCTTCAAACATTTGAGGATCGTTGCCTGTAAAGACGAGATCATCTACATATAGGCAAACCATCAATATTGCTCCCCCTTGCACTTTGCAGTATAGTGCATGCTCATGTGGGCATTTGCTGAATCCATTCTGCTGAAAATACTTGTCAATCCTGCTATTCCAAGCTCTCGGTGCTTGTTTCAGACCATATAGTGCTTTCTTCAACTTCAACACTTTATCTTCTTGACCTTCGACGATATATCCAGGTGGTTGCTCAATATAGATATCTTCCTCGAGATATCCATTGAGAAAAGCTGACTTCACATCCATCTGGTGTATCTTCCATCCATTTTGAGCAGCGAGAGATATCACCATCCTGATACTCTCCATTCTCGCTACAGGAGCAAAAACTTCATTATAGTCAATGCCTGGTCTCTGACTATATCCTTTAGCCACCAATCTTGCTTTGTGTCCGACGAATTCTCCTTTAGCATTTTTCTTGGCCTTGAATACCCACTTCACACCGATTGGCTTCTGGTTCTTAGGAAGTGACACAAGCTCCCAAGTCTTGTTCTTCTCAATTGCTCCAATTTCTTCATCCATAGCTTTCTTCCATTTTTCATCCTTCATGGCTTCTTCAACATCAATTGGTTCACTATCAATGAAATGACAGTAGAGTGTCAATTCATCACCTTCAATGGTTGTCGTTTCTTCATAAATTTCTTCAAGTCTCCTATACTTCTGTGGCCTTTCTCGGGGACTTTCACTAGATTCTCCTTCTGGACTGGCAGGCTCTCTATGACTGGGTGGACTTGTCACAGGTGTAGCTGTATCATGTTCATCATCACTTTCATCCATAGTGAATGGATAAAAAGTGTAATTTTTCTTTGCTTCAGCAGTCCAATCCCATGTTGCTTCTTCATCAACTACCACGTCTCTGCTGACGATCAGCTTCTCTTCCACGGGATCAAACATTTTGTAACCTTTTGAGTGTTCTGAGTATCCCAGGAATATGTACTTCTTGCTTTTGTCATCCAACTTCTTCATTTCTTGATCTGGTACGTGCACATATCCTACACTTCCGAAAACTCGGAGATGAGAGATTGTGGGTTTCCTTCCGCTCCATGCTTCTTGGGGTGTTTGATTCCAAACACTCTTTGTTGGTGACCTGTTCAGCAGGTAGACTGCACAATCAACAGCTTCAGCCCATAGCTCCTTTGGGAGGTTCTTGCTCTTCATCATGCTTCTCGCCATGTTGAGGACAGATCTGTTCTTCCTCTCAACGACTCCATTCTGTTGTGGGGATCTTGGGACTGTGAGAAACCTGCGAATTCCTTGATATTCACAGAACCTTCTGAACTTCTTGAGCATAAATTCTCCACCTCTATCTGATCTCATTGCTTTGATGTAGAGGCCACTTTCATTCTCTACGAGCATCTTGAACTTCTTGAAAGCTTCAAATGTGTCTGACTTTTGCTTTAAGAAGTACACCCATGTCTTTCTACTGTAGTCATCAATGAACAATAGGAAGTATTTGTTCTTGCCAAATGATGTTGGAGTGATCGGACCACAGAGATCTGCATGGATGAGCTCAAGTGGTGCTTTAGCTCGTGACAGGGACTCCTTCGGGAAACTTGCCCTGAATTGCTTCCCAACTAAGCATCCTTCACACAATTGGTCTGGATGATTGATCACTGGCAGACCATGCACCATCTTCTTCTGACCGAGCAATTTTAGACCTCCAAAATTTAGATGGCCATACCTCATATGCCATAGCCATGTATTGTCCTTCACACACGCTTTCAAACACTTCGCCATTTCTGTCTGAATGTTCAGTGTGAACATTCTGTTTTTCGACATTGGGACTTTGGCCAACAACTGCCTCTTCTCATTTAGCAGCTCCAATTGACGATTCACCATGTGAACTTCATAATTCTTCTCCATCAATTGACCCAAACTCAGGATGTTACTAGTCATGTCTGGGACATAGTACACATCACTGATAAATTGTTGTGAGCCATTCTTCAGCCGGATGAGTATAGTTCCTCTGCCTTTGATAGGAACCTTCGAGGAATCTCCAAATACGACATTTCCTTTCACCGACTCATCCATATCCACGAACATGTTTCTTTTACCGCACATGTGGTTGCTTGCTGCATTATCCAGATACCACATGTTGTCCTTCGGTTTCTCATCTCCTTGATGTGACAGCATCAATGTGCCTTTGACTTCTTCTTCTTGCACGTTGTTTGCTGTCTCCTCCACTTCTTTAGGCGGACTCCAACATTCCGATGCATAATGCCCGTACTTCGAGCAATTATAGCATTGGACGTTGGATTTATCACGACCTTCATTTGATCTCCAACTTCCTCTTCCACGTCCACGACCACGACCTCTGCCTCTGGTGGACGTTTCATAATTGTTCGTGGTGAAATTTCCTCCATCCCTATTTTGATATGCTCCTCGGGCTCTGCCTCTTCCTCTGCCTCTATAGTTGCCTCTGCCTCGACCTCTGCTGTAACCTCCTCCTCGTGCGCCTTCTTTCTCCTCCGTGGTAGCTTTTGTAGCTAACACTTGTTCTGACGATTCTTCATTTCTTTTATTTAATCTTTCTTCTCTGGCTTGTAATGAACCGATGACTTCAACAACCGTCATTTTTGACACGTCCTTAGCTTCTTCCATGGCCACCACCACATAGTCAAACTTTGGTAATAATGACCGTAGAATTTTCTCCACCACTTTGGTCTCTTCAATTTTCTCCTCATACTGCTTCAGTTTGCTGACTACTGACTTCACACGGGCGGTGTAATCTGAAACAGATTCACCTTCCTTCATTTTAATGGCTTCAAAATCTCCCCTTAGTGTCTGAAGTCGAACCTTCTTCACTGGTTCCACGCCTTGCATTTCTTTTTGCAAAATCTCCCATGCTTCCTTTGCTGTGGTAGCATCTGCTATTTGATCGAACATCGATTCATCAAGACACTGATGAATGAGAGTGAGTGCTTTCTGATCACTCTTTCGATTCTTTCTCAACACCTCCTTTTCAGCAGGAGATAACCGAGAATCCTCCACAGGAATCTCATAGCCTTTTTCGACAATATCCCAAGCATCTTGGGATCCAAGCAAGGCTTTCATACGAATGCACCAATTTTTATAATTGGTTTTGGTAAGGTGGGGGAATTGAATGGGGAAAGTGAATTTTTCGGCCATGGGACAATCGTGATAACAATAGCACGAGAAATTCTTTTCTGATGTGGAAGTTCAGACTACGCCGCAACCACAGAGCATACTCGAAAATAACTCGGGCTCTGATACCACTTTGTTGGAAATAATAAAATTATTTCCTTTGTATTATATGGTGGGCACGTTTGGGAATGGAAGTTATTTTTTGGTGGGCTTTTTTAATTTGGAAATGGTGGAGGAATTTTGATGGAAGGCTAGGTGGCAGAGAGAGTTTGAGAAAGGGAGCACTTTCTTTATTGACTTCTTTCTTTTATTTTTTCTTGCTCTACTTCACAAACTAACATGGACAAGCCTATTTATAGGCTTCAAAGTGTACAATATCTCCAAAATATCTGCATCAACCGCCATACACATGTGGCCTTCTTTTTTCTGATTTTTATTTAATCACAACTAACTTATTAATTGCAAACCCAACCATTTCTAGATTCCTCTAGCAAACTACCACGTTAGTATCTTCTAGGCTTTCAAGATTTGTTATTTTTATTTTATTAATAATTAAACTTTAATTTTCAACACACCATTGCGGTCGGAGAAGGCGTCCCTCTTCAATTCGACGGAGAAGGTGAGATCTGGTCGCCTTTACATCTGGGGAAAAAGGAGATATCGTGGGGGTATTGCAAAGAAGAAGAAGGTCACCGGAGACCTCATCGCCCGTCCGACTTTGCTCCTCCCAACCCGCTCGACCTCGCCGCCGCTCTGGCCTAACGAAGAAGAAATCTCAGCCCGCCGCATCTCTACCGCGAACCCAGCTCCATCCCCGCCGCTTTTTTGCCCCTGACCTCTATCGGAGGAACGCGTAAGAAGATAAACCGCCGGAAGCTTTCGTTATTACCTAGGCCAAACCGAACGTTCGACTTCGATTGACCGTAGGCCTTAAAGAAAACTGAATTTCTATAAGGCCCACGGTCAACCGAAGTCAACCGTTCGGCTTGGCCCTGGTGCTAACGAAAATTTGGTTTCTATTTGGCCAAAAGTAAAATTCATAATTCATTTATTTAAAGTATAAATATTTTATTTAATTAAATTTTATTTGTGATGGAAGGTTATGATATTTGAAAATTTAGGCGAAATGATTTTTGTTTTTTATGATGTTGTGTTTGTTGGGTGCAAAATATAGAATGGAAGAGAGAATTGTAAAAGAGCAATTTTAATACTTGTTAGGATGTTAAATAGTAATTTTCAGGACGATGTTTAGCAATTTCCTATGGTAATTGTCCTCCACGGCTAACGGCCAGTAGTAGTTAACTTCCTTTGTAGTGTTATCTGTATGATTGGATACGCGTTTGTCTCAGTGCATGGGTCTTAGTTTGGGATGCAAATTGCAAACTCTTTTTGAGGTTAAGGGCTCGCTATAGTAGAAGTTGATTTTTCGTAACCAAAGATGGTCAGTAAAAGTACCGAAATGGTTACTAATGTCTTTGGGTTGGACTGTTCGACTGGGAAGTTAGGAGAAGATAGGAGAAGAGGTGTGTGGCCTCTAGGGTTCGACTGTTCAAATAGTGAAGGAGAATTTTTTCAAGAAAGAAATTGAAAGAGAATAAGGGTTGTGTTTTCTTATGTTTGTTAGTTTATAGAGAGTAGAGGTGGCTATATGGTCCGGTCCAGTTAAATTGGCCCGAATTGATCCGGTTCCGGTCTGTTTTTTTCGAGAATATAAGGATCAAAGATTGGATTGGATACAGTCCGGTCTTGAAGCGGTCCGGTCCCAATTCGGTCTTGATTTTAGATTGAGGTTGTGGTGATTTGAGTAGCCTGAGTCCTGAAAGCGTGAGGAGTTGGTTAAATTTTGTGTGTTGGGCTCTCTTAACCGGTCTTTATCTGGTTTTCGATCCGGTCCTGAACAGGTTTTTACCACAAATCTAAGCCCGAAAATGGGATTAAATTGTTTGCTATCCTGTCCTGGTCCGAGTTATACGGTTCGGTTTCGGGTAAAACCAAAAAACCCGGACCAAATAGCCAACCCTAATAGAGAAAGTGTATTCATTTTTTTATCTGAAGAGGAAAAAAGAGAGGCAAGAAAATGAGAGTCAAGATTGAAGAAGACAATTCTGCCTCTTTCCTTTTGCCAAATGCACAAATTTACACTACAAAAAAGGGGGCCTATACCAAGGGTTTTTTTGGCCTATACCAAGGGTTTTAACCCCTGCTATAAACTGTAGCAAGGGTTTTTCCAACCCTTGCACCAACCCTCGCCAATGCTGCCCCTACTATGGATAGCAAGGGTTTTTAGCAACCCACGGTGAAAGTTTCATCCAAGGGTTGTAGCAAAGGTTAAAACCCCTGCTATATGACAGTTTAAAATCCATCAGATATTTGTTTGTACTGAGGGTTCAACCCTTGCCACTTAACAAAATAGTTGCAATAGGACTTTACTTATTGCAGGGGTTACAACCCTTGCTTAATTCGTGGTTAATATAAAATAAATTTGCAATGGAATCGAAACCGTCACTAAAAGGGCTTCAAAACGGTCACTAAAGAGGTCAATTCAAAGACTAGTGGATATAATCTGGTTGCAAATACTCTGGTCATTATAAACAAACTCAGAACCTTATATTCAATAGTAACCAAACTCATACCATACATCAATACATAATCTGTATCATGATTCATGATCCATACTATTGTTCACATGGCTAAACATGAATTGCCATAAACTTAACACAAAAAAACTTAACCTAATAGAATATTTTCTCAAAAGAGCCTGGTAATCCTATCAATTCCTTGCCAGTCCGAGATCACAAAACCCTGAATAAACAAATAAACAATCATCAGTTTAGCAGCTTGGAAAAACACAAAACTCTTTTTGAGCTGATAATGAAGAAGCAAAGGGTTACCCTGAAGTTGAGGGTGCCCTTGAGGTAGCTTGTGATCATGTTCTGGTTGGTTCGACAGTGTCCTATTTAATCTAAACAAACAGAGAATTTGATTTAGCATACAAATGCATTGAGTTTTGCATCAATGGACAATTGGTTGAACTGTACTCAACTAAATTATCAGCATATCACTGAACCAATCTCCTAATGAGCCTTTTATATTGAAAACCTATTATATGTATCACACTTCTGTAATATGCCTTTCCAAAAGAAACTACTGAAACCCCACCATACAAATAAATCATCCCCCTTTCACATATTCAGATGTCAATGGAAAATGATATAACATATAAAAACAACCAATATAAACATACAAACAGAACGAAGGGAAGAAGTTTGATAGAAGGTATAAAAAAGGGAATGAGTAATTGTTCGTTACCTTTCTACCAAGCTCTGCAGACGTGTACGAACAGGCCTTGAAAAAGTGTGATCAGCGAGGTTTCCATCAACATGACGTTGTTCCCTCTAGCGGTAATGGCTATCACATGTTCTACTGTTGAATCCTATGACAGTAGAGGAATCAGTTCCCGAGAAGCAAAGAGTGCTTAAAATAGATAAATATAGCTCAACTGAGTCAGTTCACAGGTTCAACAGTTTACCTGAGCAGTTGCATAATACAAATAACTAATGAGAACCATTTGATTCATGCTTTGCTTTTCTATTCTTTCCTCCCCTGTTCTTACTTATCTCCTCATGGTTATGAGGCAGATAATGAACTCTCCCAGTAAGAAACCAATTCTTCAATGGCCAATTCAACCGACAAACACCAAAAAATTGAAATAGCAAAACCTGTCATCAAGGAAAAATATATTTTTCGAGCATGAATTCCTAAACTTTCCCACACAGGACGAAAGCAAATATGAAAGCACAGAAGAATCGTCATCAAGGAAGGATCAATACCCTGATAGGAGGTTAGGAATCCGAACTTTCATACGTTTACGAATCTACTGTGCCAGAGCATCCACCAAAACTACTCTACCCAGCTTACTTTATGGTGCTCCAGTCAGTATGGACTTCAGACTCTCACTCTCTGCCTTTCATGCAGTCTCCAATGAGTTCTCATACCCAGACTGCAAAAGAATCAATTGAAGCAGATTGACCTATTAAGGCAACCCATTGAATATCAGCAGTTTTAGGCGGCCCCTGATTTACCAAAAGAGGCTGAACAACTGCAAGGGCTTTCTGGTCAGAAGCAGCTTGATCGATTTTACCAATCACACCAATGGTCTGGTACCTGTCAACAAAAACATGTAAATATTTGGGGAGAATCAAGTAAGTTTTATCAATTATGGCAGACCATAATGAACATCAACAAAACCTATTATTTCCATCATCTAGTTGGCTGGTATCTACGATTACAGGAGCTCAGACCACATCTCACCACACTACAAGTTGAGTCAATTAAGAGCTTCACCTGGATTTTACTTTGCAGCTTGGCAATTACAATTCCTTTGAAGGGGTGTTATACTGCAGGCCGCACTTCAATCAACTGTTCAAAAAAATTGGAAGTCTAGAGAAAAGTTTTGATGGTGAGTAACCCAAAAAATCACCACTGGTTTTTCCCCATTTCCCCTTCTGATTTTCAGTGAGTTTCCATTGCAAATTTACCAAACGATGATTGAGAAAATGTATTTCTGGTAAAGCTAGGACGAGGGTGTAACTACAATGGATACCCTGCAAATCGATGAACCTGAAATCCTAGAACCAAATTGTCTAAAGCCTAAATTATCATCCACAACTCAATAAGCAAGTATAACTAACCACATACAACTTGTAAGTTATCTCTTCATACCTCTTCTTCCACATCGAATTCATCTTCTATTTCTGTCATCAGCTGCCTCAGCTTTGAAACCACTGCCAGCCTACTCCAGTCCCCATCTTTAGCGGTGTGGATTAAGGCACCCATTAGCTCAGGTTCTACATCTCAAAGTAGCTTCCCTGTGCGAACCATTTCACTTAAAAGAATGATTGGTTTGATAGAGTAAATGTAGAATATTTTAACAATGATTCAAGAACAAAGAGTGAATCATTTACCAATATAGTTATATTGCCTTCGGTTCTTTCGTAAACTTCTGGTCCTAGTTTCTGCGAGAATTAAACAAACACCATCGCTTCAATAGCTTACAGAAACTCAACCTCTTGCCCAAAGATAATCAGCTGAAGAATTGTATACCTTAACTAGCGTCAAAGCTTTGAAAACCTCTTTGCATGGAGCCAGCAAGCGAAGAACTCCCTTACGCCCAGCTAGCTCCTCGGAATGACCTAGCTCTGTTCAGAGCTCATCCAATCAATTCAAACACAACTTCACAATCACACCATGCAAACACAAAGCACCAGACAATCGTTTGATCTACCATACACAAAAGCACAATTGCAAGCGAAAGAAATGCAAAGCACAAAAAGCCAAAAAAAACACCGAGTAGTAGGAGAGCGAGCTCAATTTCACTCGTACTTGGGAGAGAAAACTCAAAAAGAAACACCAAAAGCACATTTACTTCTTCATTCTGAAGAGAGGGATAACCTTATCATAAAATCAGAGAATCGCCTACTGATTCCGCTGGAGTGTGAGAGAGAGATTCGCCGATGGATTCCGTCGGAGCAAGATAGAGGCCGGAGATAATTGCTAGAGCGAGAGATAGAGAGAGAGATCGAAGAATTGACGGAGAGAGAGAAGTTCGTTTTTGACTTTTTGGTATCGCAATGCGAATGAGAATTGAAAATTGAATTAGTTTTTTCCTCTGGGCGGCCATTTTTTTGGACAAGGAAACCAAACGCCAAACACAGTAAGTTACTAGCGAGGGTTTACAAGACCCTCGGAAATAAGCGTTGCTATAGTCACCTCCGAAAAATCTAGCAGGGGTTATTAAGCCCCTTGCTAGCGAACCCTCGCCTTAGGAGTCTTTTTTAGTAGTGTTAACACCATTCTGTGTTTCAACGAGTAGACAATTAATTGCTAAAATAACCGCTAACCATAGCAAAAATTAATAATTAACTGTGAAGGATTGATAAATAGGTTAATGATAATGATTATTTGATTGGCGGGTAACTGATAATCACATTATCGATGAACAGTTAACTACTAAACAACTAGACTATCACTCATTCACTCCTACCAGCAACCGAGGTTAATAAGTCTGGCCAATACGGGATGGGGATTAAGTGACAAGAGAGCTAGGGATGGCAAGTCATTGCCATGTTGTGATGCCACTAGCGGTGTGCAACAGGAAACAAGTATTTGGGTATACCCAAACCTGTTCCTTCTTTTAGGATTACGGGTACCCAAATACCCGTTATATTTATTGCGGGATGCGATTTAGAATTAAGAATTTCAATATCGGGTACCCGCGGGTTACCCGCTAATAATCGTATTACCCATTAGGATTATTAAATTAGGCCAATTAACCAAATCTGATTCTAAAAGGACTGAAACCCAATTTCCTAATACCACCCCAAGACCTCCTAGCCGAGCCCAGTCGCTAGTCCAGACCCATTTCCTATCTTCTTTAACCTAACCAGCCCCTCTCTCTCACCTCTTCCTCACTTGGCCTCGGCCCTAGGTGATAGGGCTGGGCATGTGGGTTGTTAATCCGCCGTTTGACATCGATCCACCCGCAAATAACCCGAACCGTAGTGGGTGGGTGATTGATGTGGATGGATTGCGGATTGATAAATCTCCTACCCGCACTTGATCGGGTGGGTGGTGAATGGATTGCGGGTCACCTGAAAGACTTGCACCATTTTTTCACATGACAAAATGTTGTTTCTTATTTATACTATCAAATAGTCATCATATTTTTTAACCGCATTACACAGTCCCCATTGATTTCAAATGTGGAGAATAAATAATAATTTTTTACTACTAACATTGATTTCTATGTTGTGTAATGACCATTAGATATTGGGATGCAAATTATAAAATATTAATTGTATCGAAGTTACAAAGTGCATCAATTTCTCTACGCAATTGATTCATTGAGGAATGAAAATTTAATGCAAATACAACACAGATCCACACGAGAAAAGGTGCGATGTGTATAGATTGATAGTCTTAATAACTTGCGAGGAACATATTATAAATGTTAGTCAACTTTCTTAAAGGCTAGATGGAGAATTGCTTTTGCGGGTTGAGCCGCAACCCAACCGCGCTCATCCGCCACCCACCCAACCCGAAGAGAAATGTTGGTGGATGGACCAAACCCCACATAACCCGCTCATTGCCCACCCCTACTTGGCGACTATTCGTGACTCGTGACTCGTGACTCGTCTCCACTCTCATGGCTTGCTCTCCGTCGGACCCGAAAAAAGGTAGAAGTGAGAAGACCATCCCAGAGCTAGAGCTAGAGAAGAACAGATCGACGGCGATCGACTCCTCTCTCTGACTCCTATCCGCCCACTAATCCCCGATCCCCGATGCCGCCGGCCGCTCCTATCCTCAGTCATCTGCCTCCCCCTCGGAAGAACTAAGAAGATGAGACGAATCCTTCCTTTCCTCTAGCTCCCTGACGCCGACAGCCCGCCTCCGACGATGATAGCCACGGCGGCACAACATCTGTCCACAACGGCACCCCATGTTGAACGGGTATAAATGGGTAGTTTGGATACCTGGCCCGTTATCTGTCCCATACGGGTTAGGGATATGGGATGAATTTTGGTCTCCAAATGGGATTGGGTACCCGTTTCCCACCCCTAAATGCCACTTGCCATCTCTTCATTAATCATTTCTCTCGTAACAATGCAATTGTACAATTTGTATTTTTAATTGCCAGTTCAATCTTTTTTTTGTAATTCAACTCATATTAATTTCATTGTACTCACATGTCACATCTATGCAATTATAATTTATTTTTTAATTTAATTATGTAAACATAAACACTTAAATAACAAAAGTAGTAGACAATGCTGTCAAAATCGCGCTTTAAAACTTAAAAGCTTACGCTTTTATCCTTTTAGGTCACCAAAAGGTTTTTACGTAGAATCAAGATTTTTCCTTACCAATGTAGTCAAAGTCTATGCTTTAAAACTTAAAAACTTGCAATTTTATGCTTCTAGGTCACCCAACTGTTTCTAGGTAGAATCGTACTTTTGACTGCATTGGTAGTAGATAATTTTACAATGAAATAAGATAATGTGACTTGCAAATCATTGCAAAAATGTTTTGTCATGATGTTATTCAAAATACAATTTCAATGTGAATGGTCTAAAGTATATAATAGGTTGATAAATATTTATGTATTTCTCTCATTTTGACGTTCACTCTGACTATATAAAAAACATATCAGTGACAAATGAAATTAAACTAGCAAAGATCCGCTCGCTTGCGCTTCGCGGATGCAATTCTACACCTAAAATTATAAAATAAATACAAAATAAGAGTTTTCATTAAAGTCATAATATTACATCCGTACTTTTTGTTGCAGAGCTATCAATAATCTATCTCTACCCAAACATATAAGGAGGTTCTCTGGCAGAACCCCTCCCATTCTGTTTTTCTTGTGTTGTGCGCAATGTACGGAAGGATCCTTCCGTACCTTTACTAAACTTCCTCCGGAACCCTCCCATCACATCCCATCCCATCCCACTTATGTTACTCAATTAAATAAAGACAACCTATTACTCTACGTATTTCCAGTAATCTATTATAGTTAGAAGTTGGTTTATATGAATTTAAGAATACTGAATTGACGCAGTATGACAAATATTTGTAAATTGATATAGTCGATGGTTTTATACGCATTTGCATTTATTTTTTATTTTTTTTTATGAATGGTAGGGCTTTTCATTTCATCATAAATGAGGCAAACAACTTTGTTGGCAACAAGCTCTAGCCAGCTGAGTAATGCACCTTTACAAGGAGTTCACATTAAACCAAAACAGACTAGCCAAACTAAAACCATAGAATTAGAAAAAACGATCTAGGATCCCATGGTCCAGTAACAGCCTCAGATCTCCTTTTATCAGTCGAGTCAGCTCCTCCATGTCAAACACCTTACCTCCAAACTTAATCCTGCATCTCTCCCTCCAGATACTGGCAACCAGACTCTGCCAGATCACTTTACCCACCTGAGCTGTATCATTCTTCTGTGTAAGATACATGGATGCCACTGTAATTCAGACAGCCACTTATCTCCAGGAGAACGATTAGAATACTTTGCAAACAACGCTGTAAAGAGCTGTTTATAGATAAGGCACTCTGCAAACATATGTGATCTTGTTTCCAGGGTAGTGTTACAGAATACACAGTAGTGATTACCTGCAGCCCCCCACCCTTGAGCCTTATCCCCTGTCATAATGTAATCATTCACTATGAGCCATACCAAGAACTGATTTCTGGGGATATTTGTTCCTTTCCATACCAGAGAGTACCAAGAGATAGTGTTGGTTTTGGGTCTAAGCTCCTCCCAGACTTTCTTTATTTGAAATTTTTCCATAAGTTCTCCTTTCCAGTAAACACCATTAGGCCCAGCCACCAGATAACTCCTCATCCTATCTCTATATTTCAGCAATTTCAACCACAACCAGGACCCTGCCTTTGAAGTTACAGTCCAGAGATCACACCTCTTAATTCTATACTCCCAAACCCAGGCCACCCACAATGACCCCCTGTTTCAACAGTATAGCCCAAATATGCCTTGTAACACAAGCCAGATTCCATGATACCATGTCTCGAAATCCTAGACCACCTTCCTTCTTAGGATAGGTAACCCTTGGCCAAGCAACCACAGCCCTTTTCCTAGATCCATCCCCCACACCCCACAAAAAGTCACAGCACAGCTTCTCTATTGCTCTGATAACTGACTTAGGAAGGATAAAAATTGACATCCAGAATTGAGTGAGGCTATACAATACTGACATGACCAATTGAAACTTCCCTGCATAGGACAATGCTTTTGCTTTCCAACTAGATATTCTCCCTGTCACCCTATCAATCAGAGGAGTGCAAGCTTTAATAGTAAGTTTCCCTGGCAGCAGGGGAAGACCAAAATATCTAACTGGAAGCACCCCCAGCTTATACCCTGAATTATTTTCCATAGCTTCCTGCCAATCCACACTAATGCCACCACAGTAAAGTTCACATTTTGCTGGATTTGATTTTAGTCCTGATATTATTCTGAACTCAGCTAGAACTTTCTTAATACACTGGATCCCATAATTAGATCCATCAGAGAATAACAGTAGATCATCAGCAAACATAAGGTGAGTTAGTCCCAGTCTCTTACACATGGGATGAAAGGGCATCTCATTTTTCTTAACTGCTTCATTCATTAAACAAGACAAGATTTCCATAGCCACAGCAAACAGATATGGGGAGAGGGGATCTCCCTGCCTCAACCCTTTCCTAGCAGAGAAATATCCAACTGAACCCCCATTAAACCCAATGCTCAGTTTAGGTGTGGTAACACACATTCTCAACCATTGCAAAAACCTATCAGGTATCCCCATAGCTTGCAGAGTATTAAAAAGGAAACCCCAATCAACCGAGTCAAAGGCCTTCATCAAGTCAACCTTCACTAAGGACCTAGGGGAGATATTTTTCCTTCCATATTTCTGAACCAGTTCATGTGCAAGTAGAATATTTTCCCCTATTATCCTACCTTTAACAAATGCAGTTTGGGATTCACTAATTATGCAGGGCATAACAGAGCTTAGTCTCACAGCAAGTATTTTGGCCATACACTTATAGAGAATATTGCAACATGAAATTGGCCTACGGAATTTCATCTCTTCTGGGGACCGAATCTTAGGGATTAGGGCTAAAAGAGTTGCATTAACACTTATAGGAATCTCAGAGACTCTAAAACAGTAAAGGATGGCAGCTGTTACCTCCCCTCCAATAACATTCCATGCTACTTTAAAGAAACAAGCAGGAAACCCATCTGGCCCAGGGGCCTTCTCTCCATCAAACCCAAATAAGGTAGCTTTGACTTCCTCTGCTGTAACAGGGGAGCACAATTCATCACTTTGCTCAAGCAGTAATCTTTTAAGAAGGATACTCTTGATTTTGTCCACCTCTGGGGGAGCAACTTCTGGATCACATTTCCCCAACAGTTCCCTATAAAATCTCTCTGCTATCCCAGCCATACCATCTGTGTCTGTAACCCTCTGACCATCTTCATTAATTAAAGATCTTATCATATTCCTTTTTTGGCGACTCTTTACTGAGTTATGGAAGTAAGGAGTATTCGAATCCCCCTCTTTGAGCCATATTTCCCTAGATTTCTGGCGAAAAATGACTCTTCAGCCTCTCTTAGCACCCTAGCCTCTTTAGCAAGTCTAATCTCCTCTTCAAAAGAGCTAGGTGAAGGGTTTTTTAAGGCTTCTGCCTGTGCAATCACCAGTTCAGACTCCTTCAATCGAGCCCTTTCACTAAGATCAGAAAATTCATCCTTATTCAACTTCTTGAGCAGACCCTTGAGTTTTTTCAACTTTTTGCACACCCGAATTAGAGGTGATCCCTCTACCTGCATCATTCGTGCTTCCTTTACTAAGTCCATAAACCGAGGATGCTTGATCCAGAACTTGAAAAATTTGAACAGTTTGGGCATTGATTTGATAGTGCTATCAGAATTTAGTAGAATCGGGCAATGATCCGACACAGAGGGATCCAGCAGATCAACAGTACTAGAAGGCAGTCCCTCAAACCATTAAGAATTCACAAAAACTCGATCCAATCTCCTCGCTATTGGATTACCCGTTTGTTTGTTTATCCATGTAAACCAGGGTCCAGTCGACTTATGTTCTTCTAATTCACAATCATATTGCCAATTCTTGAAATCTGTCATACTACTAGAGAGCTGAGGCATGTTTGAAGCCTCATTAACATCCCCTATGGCATTAAAGTCACCCAGTACAGCCCAGGGAGCAGATTGAACTTGCAATCGAACCAACTCACTATAGAGAACTCTCATATCCACTTCATCATTTGATGCATAGACCAAAGTAAGGAAAAAAGGTGTACCTGAGGCCACCAACACATGGATAAATTGATCAGTCAAATGGAGAACTGTAAGGTTGATATCTGACTTCCAGAACAACCATAGCTTGCCAAGCCCACTGGAGTTGTTTGCCACTTTTGACTCCCAACCAGGAAACCTCACAGTAATCAACTGATCTGCTTTATTTGCTCTAACCCTAGGCTCAAGTATAACTAGTATATTTATACTATGTATATTTAATAGCTTCCTAACAGCTTTATTTTTATCCGGGTCATTAAATCCCCGGATGTTCCAAGTAATAACCTTCATCGCTTCTTCGCAGCCCTACCCCCTTTACGAGGGCCAACCGGTTCAACTCTTGGTGTGGCAGGTTTCCTCTTAGAACTGCCTACTGTAATCCACGGATAAGGCTCCTTATCTGCTGCATCCATCTGAGGAGATACCCCATCAATTGGTGAAGCAGTCCCAACAGACGAATGTTTGGATTGATCAGAACTCCCAAACTGAGCTGATGATCCCGCAACAACTTCAACAAAACTAGCAACAGCACCCCCATTAGTCAAAGGAGTAGGAGCAACACACCCATTTGGATCCTGAATGTCAATCTCCTTCCCTTTAGACCTATCAGCAGCAGCTTTACTAGTCACCACCTCTTCCGAGACCCCATCAACCTGAGCCACAGTCGTATTCACTTCAGCACTCTGCGTATTCACAACCTCCCCCAACTCAGCATTTGTTCCTTTAACCTCAACCTGCTGTACAGTCCCCTTGACTACCCACTTCTTATTGCTGTCAGCCAAACTTTTACAGTCATGACCATATACTTGACACTGAGGACACACCCTAGGCAAGTTCAGGTAATCAATGTTCACATCAAAGAAGGGATCATCATCCGGGTAGAGACGAACCTTCGAGGGAAAGCCACAATCTGCCGATAAATCAACACACACCTTCGCAAATCCCAATTGCCCTCCAACCCTAGTTGTTTTGTCCATCCAGAGGGGAGGTCCAACAATACTCGCAATCCACTCCAAACCTTCAGTAGAATGATATTTCAGCAGGATCCCCAGATTGACACCCATATAGGAAGAGTTTTGACCAACGGATTAACTGGTTGAATACCTGGAGACCATTTCCTGAGGTAGAGCTGATTTCCTTGAAAATGCCACGGCCCTGTACGGAATACCCACTTGCTTGTGGAGGAAGAAGGGAATTGAAACACAAACATCCGAGCTCCTAATCGAGAGACTCGCACAGCTCCATCTCTCCCCCAAATTGCAGTAGCCCAGGTTTGAAGCTGAGCAACCTTCGGCTGAGCACTCACGAATTGACCGATGAGGCAATCGCGCCAGCGCTCCTTCCCCTTCTTCTTCACTTCTCTCGGGAGTCTGAAACCATCATTGACCCGCTCCGGAGATCGGAACTGCATCTATTTAGGTTGTCTTATGGATGTAAAATTATAAATTATTAGTTTATTTTCCAATCTTTTATGGGGTTTGGAAAGATAGATCACATTTTCGATCAATAATAAAAAAAGATAGCTAAAATAGCCATTATAAAAAAAAATAGCTAATATAATTTTGGATTTTGCTACGGTGACTTGCAAGTCACCTAATTCTAACTGAGGTCGACTGAAAAGTGCAAGTTACGATGACTTGCAAGGCACCATAGGCGCACCCCATAATTTTTTCTCTATGTTTCGTTTTTGGCCAGCGAAAAAATAATGATATTACACCACATGGGGGCGGGGTATGTATAGTCAGGGGCGGACCCAGGGGGTTTTGGACACCCATAAATTTTGGGAAAATGATTATCCAACCCTCAGTGGTAATTTACGTATAGACAAAAAAATATAATTGATAGTGAGGGACACCCCTGAAATTTGAAAAAATGATTATCCTACTGTCATTTGTGTATAATAATATAAATAGTAGGTTGGGTAATTCAAATCTAGAACATTATTATTATTAATAAACTTAATTTCCGTTGAGCTATAACTCATTTGGTGTTCGATTTTGAACAATGTGTAATAGTAAAAAGTCATTCCCTATCTCTAATTATTTCAATTCCCACTACGAGTAAGGTCTTTTCATATTTACAATTTTATTTTTATTTTTATTTAATTTATTTTTTAAAAGAGGACACTCCTATGAAAAATTTCTGGGTCCGCCACTGTGTATAGTTTTCTGTTACCATAACAACAACCTCTTTCCTTTTATTCTTTCACATCTTTTGGTTTACTTGATTCGGATAAACTCTTACTGGTATTGGTTTTTCTCTCGGAATTATGAAAGACAAATCACATTTTTTTATCAATAATAAAAAAAAGATAGATCACGATTCTCATTTGTATGTTTAAAATTCCAAAACAATAGCTAACATAATTTTTTTCCTACTTTCCGCCAGCGAAAAAATTATAAGATTATGAGGGCTAGGTTTGTAATGTATAGTTTTCTGTTACGATAGCAACAACTGTACATGGGCACCGGGCTGTGCTGCCCACGGGCTAGCACGACACGGCACGAAATAAATGGGTCAACCCGACACAAGCACGGATAATTTATGGGTCGTGGGCTGAAATTTTATGGGCACGAGCACGGGCATGACATATAAGTGGGCCGTGTCGGGCCTAATATTTTCGAGACTTTATTGAGTATAAGAACGGACATGGCACGAAAATAATATTTCTTTGATAGAAAATAAATATAAAAAGAATTATAGGTTCAAATATTACAAAACACAAGTAGAAAAATAATTATTTGTTGTTGTTAGAAGTGTCATAAAAATATATATGTAATTACTAACATAAGTAAAAATGGACAAAGAATTAAACAAAGCCAAATCACACTCGTTATACTTCCAATTTTCTTTTCCCCCTTAGTTATTACTTTTCTCAAACATTATCGGTTAATATTTTCTTCCCCATCCAATTTCCACCTTCCTTTTCATTCTCTCTTTTGTATTCGTCCTTTTCATTAAACACGAATACGAGCACGGCACGAGCCCGAATAGGCACGACACGATTCGAACCGTACCCGAGCCTAGGCCGGTCTAGCAAAGTTAACAAATGGGCTTGCATGACACGGCACGAAAACTGACGGGCCGTGCCAAGCACGACACGAAATAAATGGGTCCGAAGTGTACCCATGCCGGCACGGCACGGGCCCATCGCCCATGTATAGCAACAACCCCTTTCTTTTTTTTCTTTCACATCTTAAGGTTTACTTGGACAAAATATTCATCATGGAGAATTCTATCAGTGGGATGATTATTTTGCTCAAAACTTCCTTTGACAATAATATATTATTCTTTTATATTATACATGTTTCAGTATCATTTTAAGTTTTTGGAGTTCATTATTATTGGCTACTATATTTTATGGTTATATGACTTCAACAAATATTCATCATGGAGAATAATCTAATTAGCAAAAGTGTGCTCCAATTGGCTCTCAAAAGAGTAAGTATGCTAAAGGTGGAGGTAATGCATTCCGTGGTGGAGATAGAGATGTTGCTAAGAGAAAATAAAACATTGTTGATTGTTGAGAACTAGAGACAAAAATTTCAATGACGGGAGTAAAAATTGAATCGTTGATAATATTATAACTGATGATTGTGAATATAAAGGTTCATTAATGCAGATGAAGCTAAATGGAAAAAATGATGCTTTTGATGACCAGAGCAACCTAAAAAAGAACCGAAAAGAAATTTTGCTGTAATTTCTTACATTGAGTAAATTGAAGGGTACTAATATTTTTAAGGCCTTTGTCCATAGATGATCAAAATGTCAGATTATATATTATGTATCGGATGTCTCCAAAGGGACTAATTTTTTTTATGTCTATTATTCATTTTTTACAGTTTCAGTAATTGAATCATTTGGATTATTTCATGATACCAAATAAAAAATAACTTGACTTGGATAATTACTACTATTATTGATATTCATCTGACCAACGGACGGGCCCAAATCTAGTCTATATAGGATTGGAATATAACTGAATATAACGGGAGAAGTCAGAAAACATTCATACTTCCAAAACATTCAATCTCATCTCAAAGTCTCCTCATAAATATTTGTTCCTTATCCTATATTTTCTCCCCACCTTTTCTAAATCACTTAGAAGCTTCTTCTTGTTACGGAACTCCTATCAATCATGTTGTAGTATCAAGTCATCCAAACCAACTAAAACGCAAGTGAAGAGAAATTTTAAGCAAGCAGTGTTAATCAAGGACACACTCGTTTGTCCTTGGCTGAAACTGGAAATATTTGGACATCACAATGTTGTTTCAGTTTGTAAGCTAAAACCATTGGAAACATTGTCATGTAGATGAGAAATGGGTAGCCTTGAAGGTCAAAGTGAGGTTAACATAATTCAAGCTATTGTAGAGAAACAACCAACATGGAATTATAATTAACTAACTGAATAAGAATTGAAGCATGTCGATTTGGGAGGCTGTAATGAAACCAAAATGGCAATTAACATAGACAAAGAAACAGTTAGAAATAATTGAAATGAGCAATCTAAGCAAACGCAGAAGACAAAAGTATGAAATGAACAATAACTGGAATTGAAATGATCAGTGAACAATCCAACTGGGAACCCAAAAGTGAAACCATAGTACAAACAGAACAATAGAGCAAAATATAAGCTAGAAGAGACATGCTTCTCCATGGCTCTTCTAGACAGTGTGAAGATACTGATAACAAAATCATCTTGATTTACATGCAACTGCAATGCACATGATAAATAAGAAAGACCTTAAACACATGATATGCTAATTAGTAGTGATTCCACATTTGGTAAAAATGAAATAATTAGTGAATCACATTTATTTTTATAATAGTGTTGTAGTGTCAAGAACAAACATAAAGGAAAAATAATAATCAAGCAAGAACAAAGGCAAAATTAAACACAAACCGTATTTTCATAAGGATAGATCCGAGCCCACTGCTGCCAGTGTAGTTAAAATCACGCTTTTAAGCTTATAAACTTACTCTGTCACTTTCTTTCTGTCATTGTATCCTGATTGTCACATCCCCATCACCGACCCAAACCAAAAACTGACCGATGCCTCCTTCACCGTCAATCTACGACGCCGCTGCAACCTCTGACTTCGCATCATTGTCGTGACTGTCCGACCCCTTCCTCCTCCGCCGTCAACCTATGTCGCCGCTGCATTCGATGACCGGAACCACATGCAAGAGAGAAAGGGGAAGAGAGAAAGAAAATTAGAAAAAATCCAAAGAGAGAATGGGACAACTTTTCCTCCTTCCCTTTTGATTTTGTATGGACTCTATATTTTTCTCTTCTGTTCTTCTTTCCCAGCAGAGAGAGATGAGCTTGTGGGGAAGGAGAAGGGAAAAGGACAAATAATAAAAAAAAATTATCCATGTTTCTATGTGAGAGAAGAGGAAAGATGAGAAAAATAGTTTTTTAATACTCATTGATTTCACGCTAATAAACAGTAATATGTTATAAAATACTTGTAAAGAGGAGTGGACACAAGAGTAAGAGTAGAGACACAAGAAGAGAGGGAGAATAGAGCTTTTCTTATTCATAGGTCTTAGTACATTTGTGTGCTCTATTTATAGGCACAAATACATAACTCCTACAACTTGAACATCAATACACATAAATGGGACTAATGTGTCATAAGGAGAAATAAATATAAGGAGAGGAGTTACATAGAACTTGTAACATACCATGTAGCATCTAATGTTTGTCATCCATAATAATAATAATATTTTCATAACACTCCCCCTTGGATGACCATTAGACATTAATTTACCTCGTTAAAACCTTACAAGGAAAAACCCTGTGGGATAAATCCTAGTGAAGGAAAAAGAGTGCATAATCATCATAATACGCTATCTGAATCTGCCTCGTTAAAAACCTTACCAGGAAAACCCAGTGGGAAAATCATTGTTAAGGAAAAATGAGTGCAGTGCATATATGCTCCCCCTCATGACAACATCAAAGTATAGTGTTGTGAACAAATCTTTCAAATATTGTCATGGTAAACTTCTTAGTGAACAAATCTTCTAGATTGTCACTTTATGCATGATCCATTAGGACCATTCTCTTCATACATGATCTTCATGATCATTTTCTATAAAGATAATCCACAACCACAAGTCATTTTGACGTGTTGAATCACATATCTTAACCAATCAATTCATAACAAGTCTCATGAATTGTTGACCATTGTGCATGATCGGATGATGCTGCTATCGTGATTTCTGTGTAGTCTACATGAGATACTTGTACGACCACAAGTAAACAAATTACTCAACTATGATCCGCATCAGTACCTATAGGTAACAAAGTATAACTCAATGAAGTATAGCATGATATATTTTCGCTTATACAGTACTTCGGGACCTAATAATTCACTTTTATCTCAATACCTAAATTGATCTTTGTTCACTTCTAGTGACCTTATAATCATTAGGCTATTGAACATATGCAATTTTTTTCCATACAAAATTGTTCTTTCACTTTTCCGGCATTGTCGTACTGATCCAAAAAGGATCTTCTTAAATCTTTCATGTTCAATTTTGTTTCTTTAAGCAATCCATGCTATATGAAACTCTTCTAGAGTTCAATTTTCTTTCTTTAAGCAAACCATGCTTTATGAAGCTCTTCTAGATTTCATATCAACTAAAACATATGAGATCATTATAAAATAATTTCTCGACTCTTTCCGTCCAAATAACTATAAAACTTAGCTAACACAATTGTATGCAGACAATTACTTCATACCACAAGGTCACAAGCAAAAAGGCATGTCATACACACAACACCACTTAACCAAACCACATTCATAAATCAAACTCATAACTAAAACCACAATATGACGCACATAAGCCTATATGTCATTACACAATCACACATGCCAAATGCAAATGCTCTAATGCACTTTCTTCGAAATTAATCACGTAAGGCTTATTCGACCACTTCCTTTAGCAAATATTCACTTAGATGAATATACCATATTCATCCATTTTATCTCAATCCATAAAAAGGATTTTTTTTATCAATCGATATTGTTCTCGAGAACTTCACATGTTTGCTTATGGCAAACTAATCCTTCAGGGAGTTTTGTATAAATATCATTATCAACGGATCCATACAAATAGGTTATCACAATATCTATCAAATGCAAATTTCATACTATTTGAACTGCCAAACTATTTAAATTGCACAACATAGTTGCATCCACCACAAGAGAGTATTTCCTCTCATAATAAATGTTAGGTTTCTACGAGAAACCTCTTATGAGAAATTGTGCTATATCTCTCACAATTTTCATACACGTTTTCACAAATCTATTTGTATCCCGTTAGTTTTACATCTTCAGGTGTAAGGACTTCCAGTCCAAAACTTATACCAAATAAGTCTAATGCTTTCTCTTATATTGGCCAATAAATATTCCTTTGTATGCATCAGTAGACTTTTACTTTTGATCCTCTTTGTATCTATCACGTTCAACGTTGCAGCATAATCTAAACCCTTGTCGACAATAAATTCACTTCGATTCCAGCATTTTCATAGAAGCATATTAATTTAGATCTCTTCATTTTAATACTTTCAGGTACCTACTATTCTTCTGGAACTATGATATTAATTATATGACTTGACACTTCTAGAGCTACTTTATCCTCGAGTTGACCATCTTAATCTATAACTCCTTCCTTTCTCGAGGATTTTTTTTTATCCTTGGAACCGATTGGTCTACCATGCTTCATGCGCTCGTTTAGACTCTTTAGATTGTCCAATATGGACATCAATTTGTATTGGAGCATTCACAATTGGGCATGTGACATAATCACCCTCTTAGCAATCGATACGTTTTTTTTTTTCCTTCATGAATCACCATATGAACTTCGGGTTCATGTTTCTTTGTTTGAGGATCAAAATGCGATAATGATGATTCCAACTCACATCTATGCTGAACTGTTTTCTTTTCTCCCGCTTAATGTTCGAAAAGTAACTCATCAAAATGATGATATTAGCAAAAAGAGTCTTGAACAAATCTCTCATCGCAATGGACACCATGTCCAACATAAGTTCTCCTGGAACTCATAACGTGTTGTGGTGGAGCAATTGGGATGTATTCTGCACACCCAAACTTTCTAGCATTTTAAATGTTTGGTCCCTGACCAAAACCATTTGTATGAAAGGGGGGAACTTATGATAACTTTTTGGCTTCATGCGAATTAATGATATCATATGCCTTAATAAGATATCGATAGGCTTAGCTTATTCTCATAAGAGAAGTTCTGTTTGATTGGATAATCATCAAAATATATCCATCATTCGAAAACTAATCTCTCAAACATCAGGTTGCGATTAGATAACGTACATATATGACGATATAGTTGATGAATCAATCAAAATCATAAGATTCATATATGATTTGCACGGTGAGTGTATTCTTCTGCATACACTTTATAAAATCTCAACATATTCAATTATTTTCACGAGTATATTCTCCTCGAGAGCATGTATCACATAATCAATCCTTTGATTGATGAATTCTCTAAAACTCTCACTTAATTTCCGTATGATATCTCAATCATTTTCGCATCGATATCCGAGACGGTATAACCGGACATGCCAAAACAAAAAGTTATCCGATCTTGTAAACTTCTGGTTTACACTTTCATATGTACTAATATACATGTAGTACAAATTTCTCCAGTTAATTATATGTTCTCTTAGAACACATTTCTAATTCAATATCAATTATGATATTTGTTTCTGCGAATATCTTCATAATTTGGTAATGCATCTTCAACTAACAGTTTAATTCATTCACGTCTCAAAACATTAGCTCTTCTAGAGCCTCACATACTCTTGTACTAAATTTTGGCCATGAGGCACCTTCTGATTCAGTGAACTATTGTAAGCGCATATACATAGTGATAATAATATTTTCATACTATGGATATCACCAATATATTGTTTAGTTACTTCAAGTAACAAAACACAATCTCTTCTGGAGCTTTTGCTTACTTTCATACTATATGATATAGTACCAGTATTGACTTTTGAAAATATTCATTATATACAAAAGCATACAAAAGCATAATAATAATAATAATAATAACAATAATAATAATAATAACATCAACAACAACATATATGTGTTTCATAACACATTTCGGCATACGAAGGTTACGGTATATGATCATGACTTTTGCTACATGAATCGTCATCCTCATTTATAATTATTTTATCTTTCACTTCCGGTGAAAAGATACATTTGCTGATTGTCATTATCCAAACACCAAACTATATTATTATAATGGTGTGTCTAGATCCATTCACTTTTAAGAATAGTTTGTTTTCATTCGCTTCAAGGAATGAAACAACAGCCTTTGGGTCAAATTATATAATATTTCTCATCACAAGTGCAATACACTTTTCCCCTTTAACAAACAAGAAATAACTTATGCTTTATAATACCTCTTTCATAATATTGCTACTGTAGGAGAAAATATAGATTTTCATTTTTCTTTCATTGATTCTTGAACCAAGAAAACTTCTTTTAATATATAGAGTTCAAGAACAACGATACATTTTTCTTCATTTTTCCATTTTGGGGAAAATTAGATCTTTAGACTTTTATTTCTCTATATGTACAATGTAGCAATCGATAAGTCAACCCATAATGATTTTGCTACTACAAGAGCAATTTCATTTTTTGATAATGTCCAAGCACAAAATCTATATTACAAGATCGACATATATAAAATAATTTCATAAAATAATATGAACAAATAACACGATCAAATAATCTCTCGAAGACAATGAGATAGATAAACTTACTAACAAGAAACGACATGAAAAGTTGCATACCTTGATCTGTAAACATAAATCATAATAGCATGGATCTTAGAATTAGATGATTTCACGAATCGATAATAGATCGGGAAAACCTACCTCGATCCATGACGAGAGCGGCGGCGGCGCTGGAGTAGTAATCACCGGAATTGAGTTTCTCCCTCTTGACCCCTTTAGGTTTTAGGTTTAGAGATTTCTGTGATGGCTAAGAAATTCTACGTAATGGGTGGAGAGAGGACCAATTCTAGAGCTTCTTTATATAGACCCACCATCAGGGCATATTAGGAATTTACCTTTCATTAACCTAATCAATATAGGATTTACCTTATATATTAAATCATTAAGTGATAATTACACTTGGGGCACAATTATTCCCTAGTGACCTACGGGAATTGGGCTTACATTCTCCCACTTGGTCCATGTGTCATTATATATCACAAGATCTAATAATAAACATAAGTGTGCACATCATAAGATAAATCCATAATATTTGGTTCACCATAAAGTCATAATCAAGTATGAAAGCTAGATTAGGATCATGGCAGTTCTGTATCAATTTATCGACATAGTCCCTTCCATGTACCACTAAACCAGTCTCATGCTCAATTTGACACATAACAAGGTAGTCATAATGGTCCAACAATAATGTCTTCACTAAAGACAAAATCTTGTTCTGTTCACATAATGCATAATGTATATATACTGGTCATAATAAATAAAACAAGATTCATAACTTTATTCCAGAAACAAAACAAATGAGCTCAAAGTGTCAATCCATGAAACATAAAATAACTTTAGTCATGACGTCCTATAATCCCCATCCTTTCGACATGTTCAGTAAATGTCTTAGGAGGCAATCCTTTTGTTAATGGATCAGCAATCATAAGCTGTGTGCTAATATGCTCGATCGACACCCTTTGTTTCTGAACTTCTTCCTTAACGACAAAGTATTTCACCTCCATATGCTTAGCACCCTTCGAATACTTGTCATTCTTAGAGAAGAATACCGCTGCGGAATTATCACAGTAAATTTTCAGCGGCTTGGCGATAGTGTCGACAATTCCAAGTCCAGAAATAAAATTCCGCAGCCATAAACTATGATTTGTAGCTTCATAACAAGCTATGAATTCAGCTTCCATAGTGGATGTGGCAATAACAGACTGCTTCGCACTCTTCCATGAAATTGCCCCTCCGGCTAGAAGGAACAAATAGCCATAAGTAGACTTCCTGGTGTCTACACATCCAGCATAATCTGAATCTGAATATCCAATCACCTAAAGGTGAGCATGTGGTCTTTTGTTCCTTGCAGATACCTTAGTACCTTCTTTGCAGCTTTCCAATGATCTACTCCTGGATTACTTTGATACCTGCCCAGCATTCCGACAGCAAAACTGATGTCTGGTCCGGTACAAGTTTGTGCATAATTCAAACTTCCAACAATAGATTCATAAGGAATGTGTTCCATTTGCTTGCGTTCCAATTCATTCTTTGGACATTGTTTGAGACTAAATTTATCTCCCTTCTGAATTGGAACGACATTTGCAGAGCATTCAGCCATGTTGTATCTCTCTAGGATCCGGTTAATGTATGATTTCTGAGACAATCCCAACAGTCCTTGTGATCTATCACGAAATATTTCTATTCCAATCACATAGGATGCCTCACCCAAATCCTTCATTTCAAAGTTCTTAGAGAGAAACTCATTGGTTTGATGTAATAAACCAAGATCATTTGTAGCAAGCAAGATATCGTCAACATACAGAACTAAAATTATAAACTTACTCCCACTAATCTTCAGATATATACATCGATCGAAGATGTTCTCCTTAAATCCAAAAGATGTAATGGTATCATTGAACTTAATATACCATTGTCGGGAAGCTTGTTTAAGTCCGTATATTGACTCTTCAATTTACACACCATATGTTCTTTTCCCTCAACCACAAAACCTTCAGGTTGATCCATATAGACTGCTTCATCTAAATTCCCATTCAGAAAGGCAGTTTTCACATCCATCTGATGGAGCTCTAGATTATAATGAGCTACCATTGGCATGACAATCCTTAAGGAGTCTTTCTTAGAGACGGGCGAAAATGTCTCTTTATAGTCAACACCACTTTTCTGAGTGAAACATTTGGCAACAAGTCTGGCCCTGTGTCTTTCGATATTGCCATTAGAGTCGTGTTTGGTCTTCCAGACCCATCTATTACCAACTCTTTTACAACCTTCAGGCAAATCAACAAGGTCCCAAACTTCATTTTTATACATAGATTTCATCTCTTCTTTCGCGGCAGCTAACCATTTATCAGAATGCTCACTTTCCATGGCTTGTGAAAATGAAACTGGATCATGATAGAGTCCTAAATCAGATTCTAACTCGTGAAGATAAACCTCATAATCATCAGAAATTGCAGGCCTTCGATTTTTTGTAGACCTTCTTAATGCAATTTCATGTGGTTCATCTATGTTAGGTTCATTCTCAATAGCAATATTAGGTGGTGCTTGACCGTTCATTTGTTGTTCCTGCAAATCGTCATCATGCTCAACATGTGCAGGAGCAACAACTTGAGAAGAGGGTAGAGGTAAAGATATTTGCACTCTAACTTCTTGAATTTCCACATTGCGTGGCTCTAAGCTCCCACTAACTTCACCATTCTCAATGAACCTAGCATTTCCAGTTTCAACAATTCTCGTACTATGGTTAGGGCAATAGAATCGATACCCCTTAGATTTTTCTGGATAACCAATGAAAAACCCACTGATTGTTCGTGAGTCCAGTTTCTTTTCATGTGGATTATATATTCTCACTTCCGCTGGGCAACCCCAAACATGCAGGTGCCTTAAACTGGGTTTCCTTCCCGTCCACAGTTCAAAAGGTGTCTTAGGAACTGCTTTACTAGGAACCCTGTTTAACAAATACACAGCGGTCCTTAAAGCGCGCATCCGCAATGATTTGGGTAAAGATGAGTTGCTTAACATACTCCTAACCATATCCATTAAAGTACGATTCCGCCTTTCTGCAACACCATTTTGTTGCGGTGTTCCTGGCATAGTGTATTGAGCACAAATACCACGTCTTTCTAGGAACTTAGAAAATGGACCAGGGCACTGTCCACTTTCATCATATTTTCCATAATATTCTCCACCTCTATCAGATCTGACAATTTTCACCTTTCTTTCTAATTGCCTCTCAACTTCATTGATAAACACCTCAAGGGTATCTACCGACTGAGATTTTTCATGCAGCAAATAGATATATCCATAACGTGAAAAATCATCGATAAAGGTAATGAAATACTTTTCGCCACCAAGTGATGGAACATCAAAAGGCCCACAAATATCAGTGTGTATAATTTCAAGGAGCTGTGAGCTTCTTGTGGCTGCTTTCTTAAGTGTGTGTTTTGTGTGTTTTCCTTTAATACACTCAACACAAATTCCAAGGTCAGTAAAATCCAAATGAGGAAGGATCTCATTCTTTACTAGCCTTTCCATTCTTTCTTTGGATATGTGACCCAAACGTTTATGCCACAAGTAAGCAGAGGATTCATCAAACAAACCACGTTTAATACCAACATTATGATGAAAGGTTAAGAGAGTCTCGGCGAATAGGGTATCAAGCTTTAGTTTGTACAAACCATCAACAAGGGTACCAGAACCCAATAAAACATTCTGTTTGAACAAACTAATAGAACCATTTCCAATGTTCCAAAAATACCCAGCCTTATCTAGTTGAGACACTGAAACCAAATTACGAGAAATAGAAGGAGCATAAAGGGTATTGACAAGGTCCAAATGATGACCAGTATCTAAAACCAAACGATAAGTCCCAATACCTTCAACTGGAACTTTGGCTCGGTTTCCCATATAGATGAACTTCTCATTTTGCCTTATGGTTTGGGTCGTAAGGAATCCCTGCATCGTTTTGGAAACATGAATGGTACAACCAGTGTCAACCCACCAAGTATTATAAGGAACCTCAGTTAAATTTGATTCGAAACATACTGAAACACTAAGCTTACCCTTTCTTTCGAACCATGCCTTTCTTTTCAAGCAATCTTTCTGATAATGTCCGACTTTCTTACAGAAGCGACATATATCCTTACTTGGTTCCTTCTTGTGGATTTTGGCAGATGACTTATTAAGCTTTGATAGTCCTTCCTTGCTCTTCCCATTCTTGTTCCATGGTTTCTTTCCAGCTCCTTTATGACCAACAAGATTGGCAGAGTGATTTCCTGGTTTCTTAAGCCTTGCTTCCTCTTGAATGAGCATGCTTTGTAACTCATGCACATTCCATTTGTCCTTTAGAGTATTGTAATGCACATGGAATGTGCCATACTCTGGAGGTAAGGAATTAAGGATGAACGTTACTAGGAAATTTTCATTCACTTCCATTCCCATGGTCTTTAGTCTCGCTGCAATGTTTGTCATTTCGACGATATGCTCATGCATGGTACAAGAACCATCAAACTTCATGGTGGTTAGCGTACCCATCGGTGTCCCAGCAAGCGACTTATCAGCAGACTCAGATTGAGAGCTTTCTTTCACGGAATTCATAAATTCCTTAGCACTTTCAGTATCATTGAAAGTTGACTTAATGTTGTTTGCTACAGTCATTTGCATAAACATTAGGCTTAGTCTGTTAGATCTTTCCCAAGCTTTATGGAAAGACTTTTCCTCAGCACTGCTAGCATCAGTAAGAGCAGCAGGTTTCTCACTTAAAAGTGCCAAATCGAGATCCAGAACACCGAGGTGAAACTCAACCTGTTCAGCCCATTCAGAGAAGTTGAGGCCATTAAACTTAACAACAGACGTGGCTTGCGAATGAAGAGAAACAGGAACAGATGCTGCAAACATATATAACATGTACTCACACATTAATGCTTTGGGTAATAAGCATAAACTATAATACAGATTCGGAAACATAAACATAAAACATATATTGGTGCTACCTTTGGGCAAAACAACAATATATATGCGATAAATAATCGTAATTGATGCTCAAAATAATCATATAATTGGTGATTGACATACTCAAATTAGATATACTTGCAATCTTTGGATATACTAAATATATCTAACCAAGCACATCAATTTACCACAATAATGTTCATGAATTATAAAACGAGCAATCAACCTTTGGGCGATTCGTAAATATTTTATAATCACGAACTTCAACTTTAAAGCATCACATAAACATTAGTAGTTGAATTTGATTCAACTTGATATCTATAAACCTTTTAATTTGGCCACTTTGGTGACTAACAAATTAATCATAACATAGATATCAAAGTTAAAATTTAACTCAAGGCAAAACCGTTTTTGTTTTTTTTTTTTTTCTCACATACGTAGACCTTGTTTCTTAATTTGCTTAACATAATCATTATAATAGTCAAAGTAGAAGCAGAGATCATGGTTCTGCCAAAGTAGCCCTGATCCCGCAATGAGATGCCAGTGAAGGGAAAAAGGCAACATAGATCTCAAAAGCTGATTGAAAAAAATGAAAGATAGAATTTGATCCGCTTAAGCCGAGAAGTAAGTGTCATTGCGGGATCTGGAATCTAAATTCAGAGACCCAATTTCAGTGTTTAGCCGTTTCAAGGGATGCGGGAGAAGGAACAGGACACCGGTAACACCGTAACAGTAACTCTAAACATTGTTGACAATTATATGGCGGTCTCATATACACGATGATGGAGCGGAAAACATACATAATCGAAAATCATCCATTCATATAAACCCTAAGGCTCTGATACCACATGTAAACATAAATCATAATAGCATGGATCTTAGAATTAGATGATTTCACGAATCGATAATAGATCGGGAAAACCTACCTCGATCCATGACGAGAGCGGCGGCGGCGCTGGAGTAGTAATCACCGGAATTGAGTTTCTCCCTCTTGACCCCTTTAGGTTTTAGGTTTAGAGATTTCTGTGATGGCTAAGAAATTCTACGTAATGGGTGGAGAGAGGACCAATCTTATAGCTTCTTTATATAGACCCACCATCAGGGCATATTAGGAATTTACCTTTCATTAACCTAATCAATATAGGATTTACCTTATATATTAAATCATTAAGTGATAATTACACTTGGGCCACAATTATTCCCTAGTGACCTACGGGAATTGGGCTTACATGATCGTGTTGTGATATTACTCAAGTAAGTTTTGAGTATGTAAAGAGACAATGACCAACCATGACTCTGACATAGCTTCGTGCTGATAACGTGTTATAAAATACTTGTAAAGAGGAGTGGACACAAGAGTAAGAGTAGAGACACAAGAAGAGAGGGGGAATAGAGCTTCTCTTATTCATAGGTCTTAGTACATTTGTGTGCTCTATTTATAGGCACAAATACATAACTCCTACAACTTGAACATCTATACACATAAATGGGACTAATGTGTCATAAGGAGAAATATATATAAGGAGAGGAGTTACATAGAACTTGTAACATACCATGGAGCATTTAATGTTGGTCATCCATAATAATAGTAATATTTTCATAACATAATATTCTTACTTGTTCTTTTAAAGTACTAAACTAATTGTTGCTTTGTTAGAAAAAAAATGAAGACAATAAAGGATCCATCCTCTCTTCTCTGCCTATGTCACATCTAGGGTTGTTAATGAACCAAGCCGCTCATGAATGGCTCGTTGTGCGACTCGAGAAAAACTCGTTCGACACTCGATTCGTTTTAATCGAGCCGACTCGCAAACAAGCTCGTTAACTAAACGAGCCAAACTCGAGCCATACCATGTTCAGCTCGAAAGCTCGCGAACAAGCTCATTTGATGGTTTGGCATAAAAAAGAATTAGAAATCATGGATTTTATGTATTGAAATAGGATAAATATTGTGTTTTACTTTGCTACAGGTTTGAATGTAATTTTGTGCGCAAATTTAGGTCAATCTTGATCTATCATGAACATTTTATGAGCTGAACTCGATTTTAGGCTCGTTAAGCTTATTTGAGGAGTCAAGCTTGAGCTCGAGCTTTCATTTTCATAAACGAGCCGAGCTCGAGCTTGCATATTAAAATTCGTGACGAACACGAGCCGAGCTCGAACCTGAAAATATATTAACCAACCGAGCCCGAATTATGGCAAAGCTTGGCTCATTAACAGACCTAGTCACATCTATTGGTCTACTGATTTCATCATCACCATTAAACCCAAAGCAATAATTATTCGTCGTGTCCAACTTAAATGACAATAAAGAATCCCACCCAATCCCATACCATTCCATCCCCCAACCCTCCCCAAAATAATGGCCATGGATCGGTCGGACCATGTCGATCAACTTGTCAATTCATTTCACCACCTCTGACTGCGGTCTATCTACGGCTTCCTAACTATAAACACAGCCTCCATATCAAAGAGATAACGCGACTTGTGTGGTTACTAGTTATTTAATCATCCTCCACGCCGGGAAAAACAGGGAAGCTAGCTAGCAGCTTCAAAGAGATGGACCAACCTGCGCAGATCCAACTTCAAGTCCTCAGTACGTATGCCCCCGTTTGGCCTACCGAGTAGGCAATTCAGCCAGATTCGGTAACCCTAATTTCTTTTGTTCGGTTTCTAACAACAGGGGATCAACATCATAATGAAGCCAATAAAGAAGAGACGATGAAACAGAGCAGCAAAACAGGGCACTGGTGGTGGTGGGTCAAAGTCTCACTCTACACTCTCAGTGTGCTACTGGGACAATCCGTCGCCGTTCTACTGGGAAGGCTCTATTTTCTGAAAGGAGGGAGCAGCAACTGGCTCTCCTCCGTCGTCCAAGTCGGCGGCTTCCCCATCCTCATCCCCTTCTACCTCCTCACCACCACAACACCAACAAAAGCCGCCGCCGGTGGTGTGGATCACGATCACGACGACCAAGGCGCAAAACCACCTCTTCCGTCTCCCCACACTCTGACCGCGATCTACGCGCTCCTCGGCCTGGTCGTAGGATTCGACTGCTGGCTCTACTCCGTGGGGCTGCAAAACCTTCCGGTGTCAACTTACACGCTCCTCTCTGCTTCCCAGCTAGCCTTCAACTCGTTCTTCTCATACTTCATCAACGGCCAGAAGTTCACCCCTTTCGTCGTCAATTCGCTAGTTCTCCTCACGATTTCCTCCGTCTTGCTCGTATTCAACAACGACGACGACGACGATTCGTCCGCGGCGGGGCCCACCTCGAGAGTCAAGTACGTCACCGGGTTCCTCTGTACCTTGGCAGCATCGGCTCTGTTCGGCTTGCTGATGTCTGCCACGCAGTATGTGTTCACTAGTGTGATCAAACGGCGGACTTTTAAGTATGTGATGGACATGATCATCTATCAGAATCTTTTTGCGAGCTTGGTCACTGCTGTGGGACTTTTCGCTAGCGGGGAGTGGAAGGGCATAGGAAGGGAGATGGAGGGCTATGGGTTGGGGACGACGTCGTATTTGATGACCTTGATTTGGATCGCGGTGTTCTGGCAGGTGTTTTCGATTGGAGCGGTGGGCTTGATCTTCGAGGTGTCTGCTCTGTTCTCTAATTCGATAAGCGTCGTGGGACTGCCCGTTGTTCCAATTGCGGCGATCTTCTTTTTCCATGATAAGATGAGCGGAGTCAAAGGGGTTTCCATGGTTTTGGCGATCTGGGGATTCGTTTCGTATGTGTATCAGTTCTATGTGGATGATCGAATTTCTAAAGTTGCTAAGAAGGCAGTTGATGAGAGCTCTCCTCGGAGTTCCTGATTGAGGATAATCCAACAAAAGTCTCGCATCCATCACTAGCTAGTTAATCTACTTATTTGTAGTTTGGCAAACATGTAATGCATGTAGAATTCAGATATTTTATAGGTGAAGGAGTGAGAACTCATGTAATATTAGAATTTAGAACATATTGTTTGACTTTGATCTATTGTAAACCCACATAAATTATCATGAAATTTGAAGTGTTTTGATATACTCTAAATCAAAAGCATGGATATATCAATATTATGATATTTGTCCTCAAATTAAAAAATTAAAATTTGAGATTAGCAAATAAATAATTAGCTGTCAAATGAAATAGGGTTAATAGCAGTTTGTACCCCTTTACTTTTACAAATTAACAAACGTACCCTTCTAATAAAATTTTGCACAGACGTACCCTTCTAATATTAAAACATAACAAGTTTACCCTTTAATCTAGTTTTCTGTTAAGTGACTATTAAATGGGTTAGGAAATGACCCAAATACCCGTGGTTTACTACTAATTTAAGTTTTAATTATTTTTTATTTATGTCCATCATCCATCAATTACAAAAACAAAAACAAAATCGGGTATCACGATATAGACTGAGAGGATCTTCCGTTTGGGAAGTGAAGCGTACTGCTACAGGATCCTGGACCTGGAAACAAGTGCTTAAAGTTCGGCCTTGGTTGCAGTTTAGAATGGGAGTGGATAGTGATGGTGAATTAAGTTACCTGGCTCGGGAATAAGATGATTCGTTTTTCTGTTTCCACAGTTTGGAACACTTTGCGTATCAGACAGCCTTGTGTTACCTGGTGGAAGATTGTATGGGGCAAATTCACTCTTCCTAGATGCATAATTTTGGCGTGGCTCATTATCACTAATCGAATACCCACGAGTGACAAGCTCAAAGCGTGGGGAATTACTATGGATGATAGTTGTGTTCTCTGTGCTTCATCCAGTGAGTCGAGGGAGCACTTGTTCTGTGAGTGTCCATTCACCTCTGTTTTTCTCTCTTCTCTTCTCAGAACTAATATTCACCTGCCTGCTACGTGGGAGGATATGATGCTACTGATGTCTCACAAAGCTAAAAAAATGACACCAGAAGTTTACATGAGTGTTCTATTTGGTGCTGGTCTATGGCTTCCATCTGTCGTGAACGGTGCATCAGAGTTTTTGGAGCAACTCCGCGACAACCTGAGCTGCTAGCTTCCATTATGAGGGAGGAAGTTTAGTTGTTTAGTAGTGGTAATGTTGATTTTCAGTCCATGCTTCAGAGTGCGCCGGATTTATATAGAATCATTACCCCCAGTAGATAGTTTTGCTTTCTGTTACTCCTTGGAAGTTTGCATTTGACAGCTTGTTGTCTTGTATTTTTTCGACTCGTGCAGTTTGCATAGAGTGAGCTTTAATGGAAAATCGCTAATTACCGGGAAAAAATCAATTAATTAGAAGAAAAAAACCCAAAACATGGATCCCCAATTCCCCATCCCCTGCCAATTCCTCCGCACACCCGAGGAACTTTTCCTCTCTACTCCCCAGAGTCCGGCCTTCAACGCCGGCAGCTTTGCCATCGACGCTGGCTGAGTCGAGGTGTTGCAGCCGAGGATGTATCGACGGGGAAGCCGGCTCTGGAACTCGCGAGAGAAGCCGGGATGCTGTCGTCCGAACATCGCGTGGAGAAGTCGGAGAAGCTGCCACCTGCTGTGTGATCGAGGGGAGAAACGTATGGCGTCGGGAAGCTGGTCGTCTGGTCTCGCCTAACGACCGATTCTCTCTACTCCACCCACCGGCGGCGCCAGGGGAGGGAGACGGATGGTCTCCGATGTCGGCTGGGGAGCGGATCAGGTCAGTAACTCTATGGTCAGTAACATGAGTAACCTCTTCACATCAGCATGACATCAGTATCCTCTCTGTCCTGTAAAGTCTTTTATATTTTCCTCTTTAATCTTTAACGGATGATTTCTCTCTCGTTTTAAGTCAAAATTTAATTTTTTTTGCACAGATAAATCAGATTAAATGTGATCTTTAAATGATATCCACTTTGATAAATTTTTAGTACAAAAAAATGAATAATTTTTTACTAGTCATTACCATATGGTATGCTCCAATTTAATACCATATGGTAAGAAAGTGTACCATGATGGCATGAACATACCAATATGGTAAGAAGGTTGAATACATGATAGTAGGAGTATATTAACTGTCATTTACGACTTTCATCATTGTTTACTACAAGTTACCACCCACATACCATAGTGGTAATGTATGGTAATTTTTTATCCAGTATTTTTTTCACCCAGAAATTTATAGATCCAATAGATCATGATGAACGCATTCCCTCTGAACAAACGTTTACAAAAACGACTTAAAAACGAAGAAGTTACCATATGGTATGTAGTTGGTAAAAAAAAAGTTTCTCGAAATATATTGAAAATTGATCTCATTTTGTAGAGCACAACGAACTCGTTCCATCTGTGCAAAAAAAAAAATTGAAATCCGAGTTAGAACGAAGAAGATAAGAACCGATTAAGAAAACTAGGGAAAATAAAATGTCTTTAATTGACAACCCTTAGATCTGAATTTTCTGGACCCACTTAAATCTAAAGGTCCAGATTTAGTTACTCATAGGTTAGTAACCATTGGTTACTAACCCTATCTTAAGCATGTCGGCTGCTTTGATTTAGTTAATTAGGACTTTTATTTTTTTATAATTAATTCATCATGGCCATAAATAATTAGAATTGAAATTAGGAATAAACAAGGGGCAATTGGGTCATTTTCCAACCTATTTAACGTTCACTTAACGGACAATTAGATGGAAGGGTAAACTTGTTACGATTTAATATTAGAAGGGTATGTTTGTGCAAAAAATTTAATAGAGGGGTACTTTTGTTAATTTGTTAAAGTGGAGGGGTACAAAATGCTATTAACCCAACGAAATATAATGTCTAATAAGTTGTTCTTTTAATTCATCGACAAATGGATAAATTTGAAAATAAAACTAACAATCAATTAGACATTATATTTTGTTTGGCAGCCAAGTAATCTATCTATTAATCGAATAAGGGATTAATTCAGTGATAATACCACTGATGTTGAATATGAAGTTTCCAAATTCAAATGATGTAAGTAGCACCTAACTAAAAACAACCATATATCACCCTTATAAAATAAAATAACTAATTGATACATAAATTAAGCTAAATGTTTTGTAATTTAGTTCTACAAATGTTTGTTTGTTGACTTAGTGCACAGTTAACTTCCATAATAATAATTTTCTTGGAGTGAATGGGTTTTTTTCCATGTAATGACAGGAGAAACAAAGTTATAACCTCTATTCAGCACCCAGGTCATATCTAGTGAAATCATCTTACAAAGTCAAAGGAAATTATCTCTACAGAGGACAGTAACAGGACTTGTCTTGCCACTCTATGTCTACGGGAGTGAATGAGTTAATAACTGCCAAATCAGTAACCCCTTTGGAGACAAGGGATTGTCAAAGGAATTTTAGAATGTATTTGGATACTAGGATTTTGATTTTGTGTTTGTGATATGGAATTTCATATTCTAAATAATTTGTTGGATATTAAACATATACACATATGGTATTTTGATTTTATCCAAATACATATATTTTTCAAGTACATATGTATTAGGTGAGTTAATTGTACATTTTTAATAGATAATTTCAAACACATATTTAGTGTATTACTTGTATTTCAAATATATACCAATAGTTAGTAGAATGAAATTCCTCACAGAACAAGGAAGAACATGTTTGTAAAAATTTAAAGTTTGAGATACTATAACTCAAGGAAAAAAGTGTAGAGGTACCAAATTCAATTTTACACCAAATTTTTCAGAGCAATTTTTAAAATATATTAAAGCTTACGTACTACATTGTAAAGAAAAAAAATTAGGTACTAATATATACTATTCCAAACTTGTAAGGCTTGATCAACAAACTCCAAATTCAAAAATAAAAACCATAACATTATGAAAAATGCAAAATTTGTAATCAATAACAAAAAAAAAAACTTGAATTATATGTACTAGATAATTGACTCGCGCTCTGCCGTGGAATTCATAAAATGAATTGAGTCATTAGGGTTAAAGCGGAATTATATTTTAATTAGAGATTAGAGATCAAAATGAACATATTAAGTTTGCAATGAGTGGCTTATACGAAAACTATTCTGTATAGAATAATTGATTAGCTAAATGTATGCAATGAGTGACTTGTATATGTGAAATCAGAATGGGAAGAAGGACTCGATTTTGAAAGAAACAAACTCTCACTCTAATGCAAGTTCTCAGGAACACGCATCTCGTAAAGAAAGAACATTTTATTGATGACAAATGAGATACAGACTAGGTAACAAGAACCCAAGTAGAGCCAATCGAGTTGGCTCTTTAAAACAGACACGAACACAAAGACTGCTTCTGAGGAACTAATCACCCAGTTCTCAAACACTGTGACTATGCTATTGAAGTAATCAAAGGACCTAATGCGGACAGAAAACACTCTCCTATTCATCTACTGCAAACTGCCAAGTTTGAAACAAAAGAAAACCCTAGAATTCATAGTGCTTTCAAACAAGTGACCGTTTACATAGACCTGCTAGGACCTTGAGTAGAGTCCATGGAGAACGGTCTTCTTATGACCATCATGAGCTCCTAGTATAGTGGTGCAAAGATGGGTCACCTTCTTTTGGTGAATCACGAGGAGTCTGTCGAAGAGGAGTAGAGAGATTGGAGGAGAAGAAGCTCGAGTCGGTTGGAGAAGACTTAGAAGGAAGATAAGCCAAAACGACACTGTGTTGTGAGACTTTATGTGAGAAGCCAGCATTTTATCGTTTTGAAAAAACGATGCCGTTCTTGACGTAAGAAACGGTGTCAATCTGGTCGTACAACAGTATATAGTGTCGGTATTTTCCATTCAATAATGGATAAGTAATCGGAAGATCAACTACATTCGTTACAATTTTAAAAGAAACTTCACATTTCTAAGAAATAATTTGTATATTTCAATAGGCTTAATTTACTTACATGCCACCTACTTGCATGACCAAGATGTATATATAATCAATCCTACCAAATTATTAGTTTGTATAATTAATTGGAATAACAGTAGGTGTATTTAATACGTCTCAAAATACAAAATACTATTAGGGGTCGTTTGGATGGAATATTTGTATGAGTTATTTTTGAGTTATTTGGATACAAATAACTCGTTTAGTAGCAATTTACTGAAATGAGTTAATTTGACAGTGAGTTATTTACAAATAACTCAATGAGTTATTTGAAATAACTCATACTCATGTGTTATTTCGAAATAACTCGTTTTTACCACTCTGCTTTTACCAAATACCACATTTACATGGTTCAACCAAACGAAATACTTTATTTCAATTACCATTGAAATAACAGTGCAATACCACACGAACAATAAATGAGTTATTTGACTCTACAAATACCACATCATCGACAATTAACTCATCCAAACCACCCCTTATTCTTTCGTAAACAACTTTGATCGATCCGCAGCTCAGATCCGAGTTTTGACTGCAGCAGAAAGGAATAAGGTGACAAGAACCGGATTTCTGCTAGCATCCAATTGCGTTATTTAGCTCAATCAGTTTGCCCGTCTTCTAGCCGTCGAGCCGACCTTGGGGCATCACTCTGCTGGCCCAGGACAGATATGAGTTCAACCAAATTCAAATCTCTGTTCTTCTTTCTCCCTTTATTCTTCATCAATCAACAAAACAACCCAAATTCAGTATCAATTGTCCAATTAAAATTAAGGATCCCCCACCCCCACACCCTTGAAAAATACCGGTCAGTGGTCATGAATCGTTCAGAACCACGTCCAGAGGGCAGTCAATTCATGTTACTAGCAGAGACAATCTCCAGGTTTCCAGAATGTATAAAAACCGTCTCACATCTCAAACAATCTCAGAACCCAAATCAACTAAAGCCAACCGAAAGATAAACAAAGAAGAAAAGGAAGAGATAATTGCCTTTAGATAATTCTGTACCCTCGCCGGAGACAGAGCAACTTAGTTCTGCTAATCTGCAGGTGCACACACGAGTCACGACTATCAAAGAGATGGGACAAACTCCACAAATCCAACTTCAAGTTCTGGGTAAATCTTTCTTTCGTTCTTTCTTTCCAAGTATTAACACTGAACATTAAATTTCAATCTCTAGAAATGGCCTCCACTTGACTCTGTTTTACTATGATCGGTGATGTAACAAATTAACAGGTGACCGTCATCAATATGATCATTATGAACCAAGCAAAGAAGAGATCAATGTGCCATTGGCCAGCAGTTTGAAGAAGAAGCAGGACACCCCGAAAGACTTCTGGTGGTGGCTCAAAATCGCGCTCTACACCGTAGGCGTGCTGTTGGGACAATCCGCTGCGCTTCTACTTGGAAGGCTCTACTTTCTCAAAGGAGGGAACAGCAAATGGATGTCATCAGTGGTCCAAGTCCTCGGCTTTCCGGTCCTCATCCCCTTCTACCTCTTCATCACAATGAAAGAAGGACAGAAAGGAGTGGCAATCGACGACGAGGACGACGACGATAGAAAGCCTCCATCTCCCTATACTCTGGGCGCGATCTACTCATCTATCGGCTTAATCATAGGGCTCAACTGCTTCCTCTACTCCGTCGGGCTGCAGAACCTCCCTGTCTCAACTTACACATTGTTGTGCGCTTCTCAATTGGCATTCAATTCATTCTTCTCCTACTTCATCAACGGCCAGAAATTCACCCCGTTCGTCGTCAACTCCCTCGTCCTCCTCACCATCTCCTCTGTTTTGCTCGTGTTCAACAACGACGACACGAGCTCCTCGTCGTCCACGGGGCCCGCGATCTCGAGGGTCAAGTACGTCATCGGATTCCTCTGCACATTGACGTCATCGGCGCTTTACGGCGTCGTGTTGTCCGTCACGCAGTTCGTGTTCACAAGAGTTGTGAAGCGGCAGACGTTCAAGCAGGTGATGGAGATGATCATCACGGAGAATGTGGTTGCCAGCGTGGTCACGGTTGTGGGGCTTTTCGCCAGCGGGGAGTGGAGGTCCATCGGCAGGGAGATGGATGCGTATCGATTGGGGACGGTGCCGTATCTGATGGTGTTGATCTGGATCGCCGTGTTCTGGCAGATGTTTTCCATTGGAGCTGTGGGCTTGATATTTGAGGTGTCTTCTCTGTTCTCCAATTCGATAAGCGCGGTGGGACTGCCCATTGTGCCCATCATGGCGGTCTTCTTTTTCAACGATAAGATGAACGGGATCAAGGGGGTTTCCATGGCGTTGGCCGTCTGGGGATTTGTTTCGTATGTGTACCAGTATTACGTGGATGGTCAGAAATCCGACAAGAAGACACTAGACGAGGCCTCTTCTTAAAGTTCCTGATGGGAAAAAAAAAATCTCTAGGTAACAATGTGTCTATTCATTATTCTGTTATTGTAGTTGATTTCCCCACCCCAAATTCACAATTCAATTATGTAAGGATCACCAAATTTATGTTATTGTTGTTGTTATAATAAAGATTCACAATGAAGTCTGTTACTTGTTAAAGTTGTCGATGTGTTCCGTGGGTTATGAATTATGGTCATTTAGGTGGCCTGAAAAATCACCGGACTCAACAATTGTTGTTTTTTTCACTGATAAGAAAAATGATTTGTATATCAGAATCGACAATGGGTGTTGTCTCCTTAAGGAAAAAGGGGGGAAAATTGAGTTTGGTCTATCTAAAGAGAACAAATAAGTAAGACCTGTGAAACCAGATGATATCAAACTCAACACAAATCTGTAAAGAAGATTGTTATATTGTTTGCTTAAATAATCATCGTCCCCATAACATTTTAATGGGTCAAAATAGGGTATGAAGCATGGATATTTAACACAAAATAATATATCTTTTACTAAACAAATCAAGTGGTGGCTAAAAGTCCTAACCTACGCAGTAGTCATACTCATCAGCCAAACAACCAACCTCCTCCTCGCCAGACTCTACTTCGTCAAAGGCGGAACCAGCAAATGGCTCTCCACAACCGTCCAGCTCGCAGGCTTTCCTCTCCTCGTCCCTTACTACATCTACACCAACCGTCGCTACTAGGGTGTTCAATGGTTATCATGGTTATAACCAAATCAAATAAGGCTAAATTCCATTAATCATGGAATACAATATCATAACCAAACCGTCCATACTAATACAACAACCAAATTAACCAAACTAAAGTTTAATCGGTTTGGTTAATTGGTTAACCAGATTAACCAATATAAAATCACATTATCATTGAAGATGCAAATTTTCCGGTTAATGCAACAATTCGCAATTTATATAATGAATAAAACATAACAACCAACACGTAGTTATAGTTGACCCTTAGCAAAAATACATGCAACTAAGACAATTATCTTACAATTAGTATAGAAATATTCACCTAACAAAAATTTATGACAATGGTATGGGTTAATGAATTGTTGTGTTTGTGTAAATTGACTTAGTCTCTTAACAATTATCATAGGCTGGAAATGACCTTCCTTTCAAGTTTTCATCCATCATAATGTATGAAATTTATCTAAATTAGGCGTCCATATGTTGTGGTCTACATTTTACATATACAAATATACACTATATGAGCAATATTGAGCTTTATATTTTATGAGTCTAAAAGGGATGAACGTTAACTCTTGAGTGGTTATGCAAAGTATTAAGTATGTGTATATAATATATGTTAGATATATGACTAATTACTTAACTGGTTAATTTGGTTTGACTGGTTAGGAGTGTCTGAAACCAAACCAAACCACCTAAACCAAACAAGCTAAAAATTTTAACCAAACCAAACCAAATATCCAAATTAACCAAACCAAATTATTCAAATAGTACCTGTTAAAACGGTTACCATGGTAACCAAACCATTTAAACACCCCTAGCCGCCACCTCAACATCACCAAACCGCATCACCATAACCAACCACAACCAGACATCCATTCGGTCTCCAGCGTAACACACAGAGCATTCTACATAATCGTAGACCTCCTCATCGCCGGAAACACATACCTCTACTCAACAGGCATCGACCACCTCCCCGTCTCGACCTTCTTCTCCTACTTCCTCAACTCCCAAAAGTCCACCCCTCTCATCGCCAACTCGCTCTTCCTCCTCACCATCTCCTTCGTCCTCCTCGTCTTCGTCGAGGACCCCACCACCGAACCCCTTGGCATCACCAAGGCCAAGTACGCTAGGGTTCGTGTGCACCCTCGCCTCCGTCGCAGGGGTTGGGATCTTCTTCTCCATAACCGAGTATGCTTTTCAAGAAATTTTTGAAAGTGAGAGTTTGAAAGTGATGAACATCTTGTTTCTGTTAGACATTGTGCTACTGTCGTTTTGTCTTTCTACCTTTGTAGTGTCGTTTTCGGCTTTATATCTTGGCATTAGCTGGTTTGGCCCATGTTTGTATCTTGGAGTTTGGGCCCATGCAGAGTAAGGAGTGAGAGACATCAGTTGTTACCCTAATCCTAGCCGAGTTTGGGATATAGGGAGAGTGAGGTAGTTGTATTCGGCAACACAAACAATCATCTCTAGTAACATCAGTAGCTAAGGAGTTTTCTATATCCTCCGTGGATTAGTCCTAGGAAATCAGGGATACCACATAAATCAATCTGTCCCGTTTACTGTTTTCCATCTCCAGTGACATCAGTAGTTGATACATCCACGTTATCACTCATAGATTTTACATCTAATATGGTCCATTGAAATTATATAACACAGCTTTATACATCACAATCGAGTTATTGGATCCCCTTACATTAATTTTTCTACGTTGTCACAGTACATATAAGAGAATCATCTCATTGGCGTTAACGATAGTTGGATCATATATTAATACTTCAAGACAATTAGATGAATGCGATGACATTTTATTTGCAAATTAGCATTGAAGGCTGATCGAGCAACCTCTAGCATTCTCAGAGATGGGCGTTAAAACACTTTGCCACCCAGCACAGGTGCCAACTAGCACTAGGGCTGGGCATGCGGGCGGGTCACCCTCGGGTTTGGGTCGATCCGCCCACATTTGACCCAATTTTTGTTATGTGGTGGGTCAATGGATGAGTGATGGGTTGTGTTGGGAGACATCCGCAGGGTGGCGGGTGGGTTGTGGGCGAGTGCGCGAGTGACCCGCTCAACCCAACAGCAAAAAGACAAGAAGTCATTGGCGTTTGAGAGTGGAGAGTGGAGACGCTGACGAAAACAAGGGCTATTCCTGGAGATTGAAATTCAAAGCCAACCTTCCAAATGTCGACTTCCCTCTTCTTCCCTTTATTTTTTTCTTTGATTCTTGTGCCCGAATCACCTCTCTTTCCTCCGATGAGTTATTTTTCTTAGTTTTCTGCTCCCGATAATCATCTCTATCCGTACAAATCTCATCCGTAATAGAATTTCTATCCAATTTCAGAACTAATTCGACATTTTTTCTTCCTATTCCATCTTCTTGTTTCCGCTCGACAACTCTCCACCAATTATCTTGCCACTTGAAGTGAATCTCAAATTTGGAGGGTGAATGGATGTTGAAATGAATTTTTTATTTTACATATTGAAATTACATAGGGGATCCTGAAATATAAATGGATAATGTCAATTTGACTGCTTTATATTATGTACATTGTGATGTGTGTGAACCCTCAAACCCACCCGCATCATCTGCCATCCACCCGACCCATCCCAAGCCAAGACTAAATGTGAATGGGTGGTGGGTCAAAAGATGTCAATCTATTTAAACACAAGTGGGTGCATTTTATGCTCAAAATTCACCCCATTCATCCAATGCCCACTAACTGGCACGTCTACTCTAGAGCCCAACCGGCCCATATCTGGTTGCTCCGTAACAAGACTGGGTTAATCCCCAGGCCCAAACATTATGGACCGTTCGATCAGGTTTGGATAAGATAAATTAATATGACATCAGAAATCTATACCACGTGGCAGTAGGCCAGTAGTAGCTAGCGATCAGCGTGTTGTTCTCTTCTCTCGCCTCCCCGAGTCCCCGTGAAATCAAACTTTTTCTTACAGTGTTAAACAAAAAATAAAATAAATCAAAATCTGAAATTTCTGGACCCAATCCGGGAGGCAACAGATATAATTTTATGTGCCGCCAGCGTGACCGCTTTTCCCGGTGAGCAAGTAACCGTAGATACCGTTACACAGTCATCTAGGCTGCCTGGTATTTGTGGAGAGAGCAGGAGGTTAGAATGAGCCAGTGAGCTCTGAGCGCTGAGCGATCGAGTTAGTCTGTGCTGTGGGAGTCGGCTTCAATGGCGACGAAGCTATCGACCTGCTTTGTCAGCCAAGCTTTTGCAGGTTTCAGCTATGGCAGTCACTCAAATGTCCGCTTCTCGCCTCCTCAACATCATCACCTCCTTTTCCCTGCTACTTGCAAGATGCGCCATCGCCATTTAGGGTGCTTCTTCTTTCCTTCCACGCCATTTTCTACTAAGCAGTTTCTTCTAAATTTCTTATTCTACTGGTTGGAACTATAGGCGATCTTGATTTCTTGCAGCTACCGCTACCAGCTCAAGAAACGGCAGTTCAAGAAAGCCTCCAACGAACAGACTCCGCCGGCGGCAGAATCGCTCTCCGACCTGGAGAACGAGGCCGCTTCGTCGAGTACTGTCAATCGCCGCCGTTTGAATCCTGAAATCGCGCCAAATGACGACACCAGAGCTACTAGCACGAGTGACGAGCGTAAGGAGCAAGGCGCCAGTGGAACTGATACGGCGAGCAGTGAAGAGCAGAAGGATTACGTCAACGGAGAAGAAGAATCGGAGACCACTGTAGAGGTGGAACACGTCCACGATGACGAGTCTCAGCTTCGCGAGAGGATTGCTGTAATTGAAGAAGCGAAATCTCTGGTACCTCCCTTGACCTAGAGTAGAGCTGTTATATGCATATATGGTTAGTATTCCATCGATAACGAGCAATGGCTTCTATTAAGAGTGGTCTCTTCCTTTCCTTTACCTACCAGGCCTTAACTCTGAATGTAGATGGTGAGGAAAAGCGACTTTCAGGCTTTCAGTTGCAGGATCTGATAGGCATGATAAGAAACGCAGAGAAGAGTGAGTTTTATTGATTTTCCTTTTCGCAATTATGTACAAATTAGGTTTAGTGTGGGTAAACTAATCTGTGATACTTCGATTGCTAGATGTCCTTCTTCTCAACGATGCTAAGGTTCGTGCTCTTGAGGATCTTAATAGAATTCTTGCTGAGAAGGAATCGTTGCAAGGAGAAATGAACGTTTTGGAGACAAGATTGGCCGAAACTGATGCACGATTGAAGGTTGCTGCGCAAGAGAAGATACATGTTGAACTCCTAGAGATCCAGTTAGATAGACTAAGGAATGAGCTCACTCACAGGAGTCCTGCCACAGATGTGCTTCATCAGCTTGAGAACCAGAACAAGCAAACAGACGCTGATGCTAATTCTCTGAGTAAGGAGCTTAGTTCATTGAGGACAGAGAATATGTTTCTGAAACAGGATATGGAAGCACTTAAAGCTGATCTAAGTGCGGTCAAGAACACTGGTCAGCGTGTCATAACACTCGAGAAGGAGCGATATACAATTGAGTCCTCTTTAAAGGACCTGCAATCGAAAGTGTCATCTTCTCAGGCAGATGAATGTAAGGATTTGTGGGAGAGAGTTGAGAGTTTGCAGTCCTTACTAAAAAAGGCAACCAAGCAGGCAGATCAAGCTATCTTAGTGTTGCAGCAAAACCAAGAGCTCCGGAAGAAGGTGGACAAGTTGGAAGATTCTTTAGAAGATGCTAATATCTACAAGCTCTCATCTCAAAGGCAGCAGCAATACAATGAACTAATGCAGCAAAAGATAAAGCTATTGGAAGAACACCTTCAAAGGTCTGATGAAGAGATACAGTCTCATGTACAATTCTACCAAGAATCTGTGCATGAATTTCAGGATACACTGAACAAATTGATAGAAGAAAGCAAGGAAAGGGCTCTAGACGGACCAGTAGATCATATGCCATGGGAGTTTTGGAGCCGTTTGTTGCTAAAAATTGATGGCTGGCTACTGGAGAAAAAAGTATCACCAGATGATGCAAAGCTGCTTAGAGAGCTGGTATGGAAGCGAGAGAGGAAAGTTTATGATGTATACATGCAGTGTAGAGAGAAGAATGAGCAAGATTCCATATCCATGTTCCTGAAGCTCACTTCAGGACCTAAAAGGTAGATCCTTGAAATAATACTTGCTACCATATGAATTCAGCTCCTTAATTGACAGCTTTATTCGATGTTTAGTCCAGGGTTGCATGTCATTCATATAGCAGCAGAAATGGCTCCAGTTGCTAAGGTGAGTTTGACAGGCCACATATTGCTTGAGGGTGAACAAGGTTTCTGTAAAGCTGAATATTGTTGCTTTAGTTCTTTCCTTGGATTTCCAAGTCTTTGTACAAACGGATGAATTTATCGTTCTCGTCAAGTCTTTTGAAATCTTAGTTTCTTTAACAAACTAATCCGTAGTAAGGACACCAGTTTGCCTCTTTTCTCTTGCATGATTCCAGAATGTTGCTCTTAGTAAGAAAAACAATTTGTTACATCTCCCAGGTTGGTGGTTTAGGAGATGTTATCAGTGGACTTGGTAAAGCACTACAAAAGAGAGGACACCTTGTGGAGATTATTCTGCCCAAATATGACTGCATGGAGTATGATCGAATATCTGACTTAAAGGTCCGGTATCTGGTGATTTAGGAAATTACTGAGAACGGGTTGTGCTTTTTATGATGGTTCTTAACATTCTATTCCTTCACATAGGCCATAGATCTTGTGGTAGAGTCATACTTCGAAGGCAAATTGTACAAAAACAAGATCTGGACTGGCGTTGTTGAAGGTTTGTGAACTTTCATTGCCTCAGTTAGTTGCATACTGTGCGTCTTCATTAAGATGTGCCATTTAATTACAACTTTTCAATTGCTGCAGGTCTCCCTGTATACTTCATTGAGCCACTTCACCCTGCAAAGTTCTTTTGGCGAGGGGAGTACTACGGGGAACACGATGATTTCAAGCGCTTCTCGTTTTTCAGTCGTGCAGCACTCGAGCTACTTCTTCAAACCGGCAAAAGACCTGACATAATTCATTGCCACGATTGGCAGACAGCTTTTATTGTATGATTCAATAATGTTATAATTTCACACAATTTTCTTTTATTGGTAAACCAGTAAATTGGACATGATACTAAAAAACCTCTTTTGTCTATTTCAGGCCCCTCTTTACTGGGACATTTATAACCCGAAAGGACTAAACTCAGCTAGAATATGTTTCACGTGTCACAACTTTGAGTACCAAGGAACTGCACCGGCTTCAGAACTGGCTGCATGTGGTCTTAACGTCCAACAGCTCAATAGACCGGATAGAATGCAGGACAACTCGGCCCATGATAGGGTGAATCCTGTGAAGGTATTGCATTTGTCTTGTTCACAAACGAGCATACTCCAGAAGAAATAAAGCAACCCTGAAGATTTATGAACATGCTTATGAGACCTGTGATCTTTTTTTTAGGGCGCTGTGGTGTTCTCGAACATCGTGACAACAGTATCACCTACCTATGCCGGAGAAGTTCGGACGGCAGAGGTATGGACTTTACTTCTAACTGGTTATAGCAAAATTGGAACATGTTATACCAGATGCTATATTTCGTTAATAGAATTAGTGAGGAACACATGGCTCAGACAGTACCGTAGAGGAAAGGCAAATTTGTTGTATTCAATCATAGAAAATTGTTCAACTTCTTATATTAGTTATAGTTGAACTTGAGACAAGAATCTGAAAATCAGAAACTGTGTTCATTGCTTTAACTTGATGAGTAATAATGGAAAGGAGGGAGGACCATGGAGGAAAGTTGGACACTGGCTAATCTACTTTTAGGAGAGCGCCCCACTTAAGAATTGAATGACACTGCTTGTGTATGAAATGCCTTGCAAGTGACAATGTAATGTTCTAGTGACAGGTTACTTTTCCCTTTGGAAACAGAAACTTATCTTTTGGCTCCCATTTCCACTTCATGCATCGAATTGCTAGTAAGCTGTGCATTTGGTTTGGTTATTTGAAAATGGATGTTATTGGTCCAATGACATGTTATTTAATTTCCCTGCTATTAGATATGATATATTGTTTCGTTTAATGCATATGTGGACGGTGTTCTGTGAGAAGCGATAGAATATGTGGATTCATTTATTCTAGTGTGCACTGGTCAAATCCTTCTACCCCTCAAGTATTTGAGATGAGCTGTGTTTTGATCCATCACATTAAGAAAATAGTGTTTTGATGCTTACGATCACCAAAAGTAGTGTAAGGCTGCCCGAAGTACTCCCCAACCAAACAATGATAGGACGTTCCTAGTTTGTTTGTTTTGGTATTGTTCTCATATGCATGGTTTATTTCATCTGCCACGATAAAATTTTCCTATATAAAGTGGAATGATAAAGGTGTGTTAATATATGATCTCCAGACCTTTCAAAATGAATGTACTATTCTCCTCCTTTCATCTATTGCATTTGAATTGTTAAAATTCAGTTTCTCCTGTGTCCTTTACAGGGTGGTAAAGGTCTCCATTCAACTCTCGTCTCCCACTCCAAGAAGTTTATTGGAATTCTTAATGGAATTGATGGTGATGCTTGGAATCCTTCGACCGATTCTCTCCTCGCTGTCCAATACAGTTCCAATGACCTTCAGGGGAAAGCACAAAATAAAACAGCAATAAGAAGGCAGCTGGGACTTTCCACTGCCAAGCTCAGGCAACCATTGGTAATCTTCCTTTGGTCATTATCATGTTCACTTTTCTCTAAGGAAGCAACAACTTCCTAAAATAGTAATGAGATCAACTGACTTGTCATAAATAAAGAAAAAATAAAAGTGAGATTTTATGACTAATCATATGAACTTCAAAATATCCAGAGCTTAGTGCCAGAACATGCATAAAATTTTATGGTTAAGCACTTCTCTGTTTTAATACATGATATTAGTCTTCTCTGTTTTATAATTGATGTTAGGCACCTCTCTGTTTTTATAAGTGATGTTAAGCACTTCTTTTCTATGCAATGCATTGTAGAGAGACTTGAAGGAGAAGCTAAATCAAAGGTCATCCGACAGTTAGACATACTAACAATTGTTGTTTGAAGTACTAGTATTTGTGTAAATATTGTCATCCTATAGCTAACAAGCAGTGGCTGCCCTGTTTGGTCTGGTTAAGTAACAGGAAGATAGATAACAGTAACTTAAAACGAAACTGGAACCGTTAATACTAGAATGATTTCAGGTAATCATTTCACCAGTTCAGTTTTCCAAAAATCAAAATCAGTTAGCTAATTTAGTACTTATGTAATAGATTCTCTACACATGAGAATTCAGGCTAATTTATCTGTTTTCCATGAACCTTTTCCATATATCAGGTTGGCTGCATAACAAGATTGGTGCCACAGAAAGGTGTGCATCTCATTCGGCATGCAATTTACAGAACATTAGAACTTGGGGGTCAGTTCGTGCTGCTTGGATCTAGCCCAGTTCCGCATATTCAGGTACTTCCTGTTTCTTCACTTGCAATCAACCCTAGTCACTAGCATCTAATAAATGCCATCTATCACTTAAGCTAAAGCGAACATACATAATTAACATGTATAGAGCTGGCACCTCATATCTTTCTGTGTATAATATGTTCAAAGCACAATTTCTTACAACTACCACTGGTAATGCATGTGAAATAATATACTTAATCCCTCTCTTTAACAGCAAGAATTTGAGGGTATTGCAAACAACCTTCGAGACAGCGAACATGCTAGGCTGATATTGAAGTATGACGAAGCGCTGTCCCATTCCATATATGCAGCATCTGACATGTTCATCATCCCATCCATCTTCGAGCCTTGCGGCCTTACACAGGTACCGAATATCAAAATTACAAAGAGTATGAGTTTAGTTTTTGCCAATAAGTGATTATTGGTAGTTTTGATAGAAGGGAAGAGAAAAGGTTTTCTGTTGGATTTCAGAAATGTTTTTTGGTGCATGGCTGGACAGCCTGCAGAGGCACTCCATATAAAAGCTGAAGCCTTATTACAGTAACTGGCCTGAGGCCATTCACCCAGGCTTCACCATAGCATATCCCTCAAAACAAGCACAGAAACACTTGTTTGTTATTGCAACTTAGGTTGCATTTATCTTATACACTGAAACCTTGATTGTCTCCTGCAGATGATTGCTATGCGATATGGTTCAGTACCGATTGTAAGGAAGACAGGTGGCCTAAATGACAGGTAGAGAGCCCAATTCCCCGACGTAGTGGGATATGATAACCATTAGGCATATACTTAAAATTCTTCTTTCAAAAAGACTTGGTTCTCGACCATCACACTAACCCCCCTTGAACTTTCATCCTCTCTGCAGCGTCTTTGATGTCGACGATGATGCCATACCTCTCCGGTATCGTAATGGGTTCACTTTCTTGGATCCTAATGAACAGGTACGTGTGTATGCAAGTCCTGTCCAACATAACTAAGTGGTACCAGACCACCCAAGTTGCAATACTGAATCTTCAACATGGATTTTCACAGGGATTTAATGGTGCCTTGGAGCGAGCTTTTGAACATTATAGGAACGACGTGAAAGGTTGGGAAGATCTCGTCCGGAAAATCATGGAGATGGATTTCAGTTGGGAAACTTCTGCTGCTCAATACGAGGACCTCTACTCCAAGTCCGTCGCCAGAGCTAGGGCGGCCAGAGCATGACGTACCCCTACACAACCTCAATACGACGTGATTAGTTAGATTCTTTTGTTCATACAAACAGGGGATGCTATCTTTACGCTGCACATATCTTTTCACTTGCATGTATGTTGTATACCAGCCTATAATGCAACGCACATGCTGGTCTACCGTAGTATAATGACTTTGGAAACCATGATAGTTCAAAACGTAGTACTACATATACCATGATCTTATATACCAATTACTAAGAACAGTCAATACAGATGTTAGTTTTTCGTTTGTTCCAGTAAAAATTGTTGCTCGGTTTTGTTAATTGGCAGTTCTCTATACGTTTGGTTTTATTTGCTTCCAAAATTCTGAACAACTAATTTGATTCTTTAAAAACATGTAGGCAGTGACAAATTTATTAGTAATTGCATCATGTGAATTATTATGGGACTTACATCCATTAATGTACCTCCTTAAACAAATTCAAATTCAATTTTTCTTCCATAAAAAAAAATCAATTCAATTTGACGTTGTTGCTTAGTTGTGAAGCCTTCTAATCCGTCTACGACCTTAATTGTTTTCAAATGTAAAAATTTGGAGAAATCATCTATCAATTAACTTTTCTCATATTTGGTTGATTTCGGAACCATGATTCGCAATTTTGTCTAAATCTAAAATCACATCGCTGTTGTAAGAAAACACAATAGCGCATTCATTTGTTTAAATAATACACTCGTTATTTACTGCATTAATCCTGATTACATCACTGCTTGTTAGTGTTAATTACTTAATTTTACACATCCATTAGAGGAAGAAATTAATCATCTAAAGAACTCCAGAAACAAAAACGAAAAGAGGGGGAAAAGGAAGTGTTGCAGAGCCTCACAGCCCTGTTCTTTCTTCCATTCTGTCCCGAACACTATCAACAAAAACAAACTAACAACATAATTCACATATGCAATCACCTGAAGATCCGAACCTCTTCAATAAAAAAAAACCTTTTTGCCAAAACTTGAAACTTCGTCACAAAGGCAGAGGAGTGCAAGAAGAAGCAGGAGGAGCCGCCAGTTTGGCGAGATGCGTTGGGTGCTCATCTCCGGCCATGATCACAACAATCTCAGTCTGTTCCGAACCGCCTATCTTCCCTTCCGGCGACTGTGCCGCCTTTGCCGACGACGCGGAGGAGTTATTGTGCTTATGATCCGCGCAGCAGAGGGTCACAAGAGCAACTAAGAAGGAGAAGAAGGCAAACAGGGCGATGGAGACGATAATGGTAACAGTCTCCGAACTCCACTTCATTGCTCCACTAGAATCATTCGATATCAACCCATAACCTGGATTCATGTTTTGTTTCCGGTTTTTGATTCGGTATTGTTTGTTTGATTTATTTTGTGGGTTCTCTTATAACTTTGGAACAGTATTGGGGTAAGGAACTGAAAGATGAGTTGATGGAGATCTCCAACGAGAGTATGATCAAGGGACGGTATATGAGTTGATGGATTGGCAGAAACTCTGTCCCAATTGGTGAGAATTTCCGTGAACAAGGATTGGGGGATCGCTACAAGATTCCAAACTTTTTGGCCCTAATGCATAATCACTGATATATATGGCGTCTTCGACGCACACTTGCCATGGCAACTAAACTACTCAAACATCAGGGCTACCGCCATTGTAATCTGAAGGAGTTAGTTGGAGAGACTCGAAAGGCAGAGAAGCAGATAGCAGATTGAACACGCATAAATAAAAGTCACATCATTTCCATTAGTCGATTCCAAATTTACATCACAAATCAAAGATCAGATTCAGCAAGCACCACGCACAAGGGAAAAATTCAAAGCTCTCCTCTCAAATCTCACTTTCCGGGGACGAAGTTGGTGGCGAAAGCCCAGGCGTTGTTGCTTACGGGATCGGCGATGTGGTCGGCCAAGTTCTCCAAGGGTCCCTTTCCGGTGACGATGGCCTGGACGAAGAATCCGAACATTGAGAACATAGCCAACCGGCCGTTCTTGATCTCCTTCACCTTCAACTCGGCGAACGCCTCGGGGTCGTCGGCGAGCCCCAAGGGGTCGAAGCTGCCGCCGGGGTACAGCGGGTCGACGACCTCGCCGAGGGGTCCACCGGCAACACGGTAACCTTCGACGGCGCCCATGAGGATGACCTGGCAGGCCCATATGGCCAAGATGCTCTGAGCGTGAATCAGGCTTGGGTTGCCCAAGTAGTCAAGCCCACCTTCGCTGAAGATCTGGGCCCCGGCCTTGAACCACACGGCCTCACCGAACTTGACTCCATTGCGGGCCAACAGCTCGGGGAAGACGCAGCCCAAAGCTCCGAGCATGGCCCACCTGCAGTGGATCACTTCCAGCTCCCTGTTCTTGGCGAACGTCTCTGGGTCGGCGGAGAGGCCGGCGGTGTCCCAGCCGTAGTCGCCGGGGAACTCGCCGGTGAGGTATGATGGGGCCTCGCCGGAGAATGGGCCCAAGTACTTGACGCGGTCTGGGCCGTACCATGGGCTTCCGGAGGAAACCTGCTTGACCTTGCCGGCGGTCTTCCTCATCACGATCCGGCCGCCGTCCATGAGCTCGGAGGCGGAAGGGGAGAGCTTCACGGCCTTGCCGGCGAATGAGGGAGAGGAGAGAGCCATGGTTGCGGCGGCCATTTCGGAAATTGGGAAGGGGATGGAAAGCTGTGAGATGAAGATGAAACAATGAGAAGATTGTGTTCAAGGATGGAAGTGAGGAATTGTGATGCAGGGAAGGCAGGTATTTGTATAGGAAGGACTGGTTATCGGAAATCTGGGCAACGATAGAGAAGGGAACTGTTGGAGAGTATCTTATCTTGAGGCTATCTATATCTGTGATCTCATTGGAGGGCAAAGATTTTTGGGGTTTGTCGTCAGCGTCCTACTTGGCACACGTCTAAGCCACAAGAGTTTCCGCAGTCAAATTAAAATATTTTTCTACATGCTCTTGTGTTGGCAGTTTGTACGAATGCTGAGAGGGTTGGGATTGTGTACATATGCGCTCGGCCGTGCTTGGGCCGTCCGGTCGGACTCATTTATTTTGGTCGTGCTTGGTACAGCTCGTTAGTTTTCGTGTCGTGTCATGCAAACTCATTTGTTAACTTTGCTAGGTCCGGCCCGGCCCAGCTCCTGGCACGGTTCGTGTCGTGCCTATTTGTGCTCGTGTCATGCTCGTATTCGTGTTTAATGAAAATGATGAAAACAAAAGAGAGAATGAAAAAGAAGGTGAAAATTGGACGGAGGAAGATAGTATTAACCGATAATGTTTGAGAAAAGTAACAAATAAGGGAGAAAAGAAAATTGGAAGTATAGCGAGTGTGATTTGACTATGTTTAATTCTTTGTCCATTTTTACTTATGTTAGTAATTACGTATATATCTTTATAACACTTCTAACAACAAAGTATAATTAGTTTTCCACTTGTGTTTTGTAATATTTGAACCTATAATTCTTTTTATATTTATTGTTTATCAAATAAATACTATTTTCGTGCCATGTCCGTTCTTATACTTAATAAAGTCTCGAAAATATTAGGCCCGACACGGCCCACTTATATACCGTGTCGTGCCCGTGCTCGTGCCCGTGCCCATGAAGTTTAGGCCCGGCACGACTCTTAAATTATTCGTACTCGTGCCGAGCTGGCCCATTTATTTCGTGTCCGTGCGTGCTCTAACCGTGTCGTGCCGTGCTAGCCCGTGGGATTTGTGTGATAAAGACGGGGAATTGGGTGATGAGATTAGAGCAAGGTTAACTGGTTAAGGTGATAAATCCCACGTACGTGTGATAAATCCCACGTACAGTTGGGATTTGTGTGATAAAGACGGAGAATTGGGTGATGAGATTAGAGCAAGGTTAACTGGTTGTGGTGGCAAATTTTGCATAAACTCAATTCAATCCATCTGGTAAAATATCGATTTAATCCACTTCAACTGAATTGGTGGATTTATATCATTAGGCTAGTTTGACAACATATATGATTCAATCGGCGATACAATCGATTTATATCAATTCATGTTTGTTTAAGTGTTGCAAAACTTTTTCTCAGTAATTAGAGTTACAAGTTTTAAGTGCTGGTCCAAAACAACTATCTATTATCATCTCATAGGAAATCATAGTTAATTGGGCCCAAAATATTTTCACTTTGGGAAACAAGAATCGAAGTTCAAAAAATATAGTTCAAGTGTGGATTTGAATGCAACAGAATACGTTCACTTTGGAAAAAAACTTATATGTGGCAAACTTTACAACACGACGCGAAGTAATACTTTATCTTGATTCGTATGACATGTGAAACTTCATAAAGAAATTAAGGGATTCATAAATGCACCAGACTTGATCCTTTTTTTTTTTAATAACTTGATCTTAGGTCTCATTCCATTTTATATATGTGATTAAGCATGAATTCGTTCTTATAATCAATTATTCATATAACATTTCTAAACATATATAAGTTTTACAATTCTTGAATCGATAGTTCAATAATCCCTTGGCCATCTGTTACGGTAGATGTGGTCCATCAACACCTACAACCACGCAAAATCTCCAATGAAGAAACAAAAACATAATTGATATTTCAATTTGGTAATGAAGGAGATGCCATGCCACCTCATTCCATGATCTATCTAATATCTCTGCCACTATCCTCAAGCACACGTGACACCTATACATTGGATGGAACTCACACCTCACTACATTTCAGCCGAGCCAGATTTTTCTGCTGCTCCTGGCAAACTTGCAAGTGTAAAGAGAGGAAGAAGACGAAGTGAATGAAGCTTGGAAGCTTCTGTGTAGTCGTCTCTTGGTCTCTATTAAACAAAAAAATGGCTCTAAGCCCAAACAAAACAAATGATAAATATAGACTAAATACTGGACTTGAGAATTAAACTAGCAGTAACCTACAGTCCAAAAGCCCACACGAATTCAATTGCTTTGAATTGATTTCGGCTGCAGAGACAAAAGCTCTATGTTTAACTTGCAAACCCAGAACCCGTGGGTCGACCCGTGGGGTGTGTCACATGTGGCAGATGACATGGCGCCAACAAGGTGGCAACATACCGGCTGCACATGTGGCGTGTATGGAAGACTAGTAGCATAGAGATGCTCCTAGGATTCTCCACCTAAATGAGAGCTTAATGGTGCACTTATGAGTCACATAATGGGTGACATTTATAGAGTGCATAATGGGGGGACTTAATGGGTGTATTGATGTAGTAGAGGGACATTATGAGGGGCATTGATGCCTTGTATGAGGAGAGGCCTATATAAGGAGCCATCTCCCTCACTCTTAACTCATCCATCATTTTTGTGAGCAATACAACTATAGAGTTTCTCCCATCTTCTTGTGTCTTGTTCTTGTGAGTTGAGTGAGTTTGAGAGCTTGTGAGAAGGCTGCCTAGTATCTCTAACGGAATTGAGAGCTAGGGCCGTACGACCAAGAGTAAGGCCGTGACAGTTGGTATCAGAGCCTGGTTCTGAAAGAAGAACCGGTGTCCTCACTCCTCAAGAAGGAAGATAAGAAAGAGCGAGAGCCTCACCAAAGATGACTGGATCAGAAGTCCATGACGATGCGGAGAAGCACCGTGGACGGGATACCGTGAAGAATCCCAAGGCAAAGGGTGACAAGTCAAGCACTCGTGATCCTATGACGTCTCTAGAGAGGCGTGTCTCTAGAGTGGAGGTGAAGTTGGCGGAAGATCTCACCGCCATCGAGGATTTGGGAGCTAACTTCGCCCAAGTCGAAAGCGATTGTCAAGGTATGAATGCTCGTTTGTCGAGCTTGGAGATTGGTCATGATGGCATACGAGAAGAGCTTGTGGCCCTCATCAACAACACCATCAACACATCCTTGAACAACGCCATTGAAGTTGTCAAAGAACATGTCCAGGCTGAGCTGGTCGACGTGAAGGAGGAGATTGCAGACCTCAAGAGTGAGGTCACTCTCGTGAAGAGAGCCATGGCTAACGGACCTGCCATTGCACAACCTACCTCAACCATGGAGGTTCCTAGACCAAAGAGCTTTCAAGGGTCGAGGAATGCAAGGGAGTTAGAGAACTTCCTATGGAGCTTGGAGCAATACTTCGAAGCTTCGGGTATTCGAGATGAGAATACCAAGGTAAAAACTGCACCTCTTTACTTGAGTGATGTTGCCATGCTGTGGTGGAGAAGGACCCAAGGCGATATCAATAAAGGGGCGTGCGTGATGGAGTCATGGGATGACTTCAAGAGGGAGATCAAGAGGCAATTCTACCCAGAGAATGTTGAGTTTGAAGCCCGGTCGAGACTAAGGAGGCTTGCTCACGAAGGAGAGATTCGAGGGTATGTGAAAGAGTTTTCTGAATTGTTGCTCGAGATCCCCGACTACACCGACAAGGAGGCCATGTTCACCTTCCTTGACGGCCTCCAACCATGGGCGAAGTTGGAGCTACAACGGCGAGGCGTGCAAAGTCTTGCCGAGGCAATGGCGATTGTCGAGTCCCTAGTCGAGTACCACGAGCCGGAGGAACGTGCGGAGTTCGGAGGCAATGGAGGTGGACGCGACTATGATAGAGACACACGAAGGCGTGGTAGACCGGACCAAGGAGGTAGTCATAAGGTTGAGAAACCACTTACTTGCTTTCTTTGTGATGGTCCACACCGTGTGAGAGATTGCCCAAGAAAGCACAAGTTGTCGGCAATGAAGGCCGTACTGGCAGAGTGCTCGAGCTCGGAAGAGGAAGCAGAGGAGGCTCCAAGAGTGGAGCCCCATGTCGCGAAGATCGGTTGCATGAAGAGATTGAGCGCCATCAAGCGGGCGGAAGAGCCTCTCCAACCCGAGCAGCACGGCCAATGCTTCGTAGAGGCGAAGCTCAACCAAAGGAAAACAAAAGCTTTGGTTGATACTGGGGCAAGTTGCAACCTTCTTGACGTAGGTGAAGCGCAGAGGCTAGGCATCACGTACGAGAAGAAGCAAAGAGGGTGGATGAAAGCTACCAACTCAAGGGCCACAAGAACTCATGGAGTAGCGCGCCAGGTGCCACTCAAGCTTGGAGGATGGACCGGGGTGGCAGACTTTGAGGTTGTGTCGTTGGATGATTATCAGGTCATCATCGGCATGGAATTCATGGTGCGGGAGAAAGCTTTCCCGATTCCCTACGCCAATAGATTCTGCATCAATGGCAGAGCAAGATCGGTTCCCATGACAAGAGAGCAACTCGAGTCAAACAAGAGGTGTTTGGCAAGGCAAGAGCAGCGAGAAGTGGCAACGATGGTGGAGGCAGAGACTCACTCGAAGACTCGTTGGAGAAGGACGAGAAGGAGGAGTGCACAACATCGTGGAGCCATGAGAGACGAGGATGTATCATCTTCGACTTGCCAAGAGAAGCAAGGAAAGGCCACCATGATCGAGAAGGCGGGACACTCAAAGACGCGACAGAGAAGACCGCGGAGGAGTGAGCAACATCATGGGAGCACAAGCCTCGAGAGCGAGCCAAGGCCATCCTTGGTTTGGAGGAAGGTGCAACGAGACCTTGCAAGCAATGAAGCTAAGGCAAGGGAGGCGTCTGCCAAAGAGCCACGATGAGGGCGTCGTGGATTGAGTGGAGGAGAATGTCACCAACGAGGCTCAAGAGTCGAAAGAGGCTGCTCGAGGTCGAAGGAGGCATTTCGTAGCAAGGACGCGACGAGGGCGTCGCGAGCATAGGTGGGGGAGGATGTCACATGTGGCAGATGACATGGCGCCAACAAGGTGACAACATGGCGGCTGCACATGTGGCGTGTATGGAAGACTAGTAGCATAGAGATGCTCCTCGGATTCTCCACCTAAATGAGAGCTTAATGGTGCACTTATGAGTCACATAATGGGTGACATTTATAGAGTGCATAATGGGGTGACTTAATGGGTGTATTGATGTAGTAGAGGGACATTATGAGGGGCATTGATGCCTTGTATGAGGAGAGGCCTATATAAGGAGCCATCTCCCTCACTTGTAACTCATCCATCATTTTTGTGAGCAATACAACTATAGAGTTTCTCCCATCTTCTTGTGTCTTCTTGTGAGTTGAGTGAGTTTGAGAGCTTGTGAGAAGGCTGCCTAGTATCTCTAACGGAATTGAGAGCTAGGGCCGTACGACCAAGAGTAAGGCCGTGACAGGTGGACCTGGATTGCTCGGACCCGCCTATAAAAACGAGTTACAGCCACCCATTTGAGTGTCAGCCCGGATTTGGTCAAATCCGGTGAAACTCAAGCGGTTGGCCCGTTGGAGCGGGTCAGCGAGCTTCTCCTAGTGGGACGCCGTTTCTCGTTGTGCCTCTGGGTGCGGCGTCGTTCTCTTGACTGAGATTTTCACCTGGAGACTGCAGCAACGAGCAGAGCACTGGAAATCGAAACCCTAAATCAACTTTGGCCTTTGGAAACGAATTGGCGACCTCTATTTCTTCTACCACTCTGGTGCTCGCGCCCGTCGGGTGGTCGGAGTCGTCATGGTGGCCAAAGAGTGGCACGAAGCGACTACATGCGAAGGAATGGTGGACGTGAAGGTCGTCGGGGAGATAAGGAGGCCGGTGGACCTGAAAGAGATGAAAGGTGATGGTGAGTTTTGTTTTTCGTGGCGGTGCCGATGGAGGTTTGGGAGAGAGTTTGTGAATTGGGCGATGGGTTCGAAAGAGATGGGAAGGCCGGGGCGGTGGCGAGGTGGATTGAACGGTACCCACCTGCAAGGGTTTTCAATTAATTGCAAAATTTTGGGATGGTTTTGTCTGTTTATGCAAAATCATGATAAGTACCTAGGCCTGGCGACGGAGGCGGAACGGTAAAAAATATATGTTTGTAGGAGTACGAGAAAGAGTCAAGAGTAAACTGAAGGGATGGAAAGAACGTACTATGTCGGTTGCAGCTAGGGAAGTCCTGATTAAAGCAGTAGCGCAAGCGCAACTGACCTATGCAATGTCAGTTTTTAGGCTCCCAGAAAGTGTCATTAACGAGGTACATAGCCTCATCACCAATTTCTGGTGGAACCAAAAGGGTGAAGAAAAGCGTGCTCATTGGCTTAGACGAGAGGAGATGGCGATCCCGAAGAGTGAAGGTGGCATGGGATTCCGCGACCTGGGAGGCTTCAACGTGGCTTTGCTAGCCCGACAGTTGTGGGGGATTGCGCAGAGGCCTACATCTTTGGTAGCTCGTGTCCTTAAGTTAAATTATCATAAAAATAGCTCAATCTTGGATGCGCGAGTGGAGTACAAATCGAGCTACATATGAAGAAGTTTGATGGGGGTACATGAGTTCCTCATGAGTGGAATGCGATGGCGTATTGGTGATGGAGCAACAGTACTGATCTGGGGTGATCGTTGGGTGCCGAGTGTGGAAATTGTTTTTGTACAGTCGGCGCAGCAAGGATTACCAGTCGACGCTACAGTTCGAGAACTAATAAATACCGAGACGAATCAGTGGGACTACACAATCATCAAAAGCTGTTTCCTAACAGCAATGGCACAAGCCATTTGTGTATCCCGTTGTGAGACTTGGGAGGAAGGGATCGACTGATTTGGAGCAATAACCGGATGGGACAGTATACGGTAAGGGATGGTTATAGACTGTGGCTTCAAAGCTTTAAGGAGAAGGAGCAAATTGTACAGGTGGGGGAGGCGATCATGTGGAAGAAGTTATGGAATCTGAATGTGCCTCCAAAAGTACGACACTTCATGTGGCGTTTTGCCCGAGACCTTCTGCCGACTGGAGACCATTTGACAGTGCGAAGTACCAAGCGCAGTGATCGATGTGCCTTTTGTGGGCTTCAAGAAACTCAAGTTCATTTTTTTGGGAATGCGACTGGACTAGCAGGATATGGAGACAGAGCCAAATTGCCGAGTGCTTTAAGAGGCACCAGGGCAGGACGTGTATGACTTGGGTAAAACAGGTATTCGAAGAATTCGAGGAAGTCAAAGTGGAGGAATGGTGCGCTCTAATGTGGTATTTGTGGAAGGAGCGTAGCGCTCATTGATTTAATGGAGTCAAGCTGGATGAGATGGAGGAATGGTGCGCTCTAATGTGGTATTTGTGGAAGGAGCGTAACACTCATTGTTTTAATGGAGTCAAGCTTAGTTGTTTTTGAAAGACTACCAACAACAGTGGAGAAGAGGAGTGGATTCGGTAAGTGAAGGGGGAGTGCAGCACTGGGAAAAACCAATTGCGGGAGTTACAAAAGTCAACACGGATGCGGGTATAATTCTGAATGAGGGAGTGGGACTAGGAGCGGTCGTTCGCAACGAGGAGGGCAAGTGTATCTTCGCGGCAGCACTGAAAACAAGATGGAGTTGGGAACCGGAGATGGTCGAGGCCCTAGCGGCTGAATTTGGGTTACGCATGGCGCGACAGCTATCGATACGGAGGTGGAGTTGGAATCAAATTGTTTTCCATTCATCCAGAAGCTACATGACGCGGAAACTATCCAAACTGAGCTCGGTGTAATTTGCCGAAGCGTGCGGAGTATCCTAGCAGATATGGGTGAGAGTATATGACGACATGCGAGGGAAAAAATCCCAGAATACTCTAGTTATTAAAAAAAATTCCCTAAATACAGTACTTATAAAGTTATTTCCCAAAGTACAGCAATTTCAACATCACTGTCGAAGACGAAGACAGTGATTACAATCACCGCCTTCGAAAACAACGGTGAAGGTATCATCGCGTTCGTTTATAATGGTGATATTATGATCGCTTTCCTCCAAAACGTTGATTATATCACCGCCGCCGTCCAAAATGGTGATTGCATCACCGCTGTTGTGCAAAACAGTGATTACATCACCGCTGTGGACCAAAACGGTGATATTTGACCACGTTTTAGAGCCCTGGTAGGTGGAAAATTAGGTCACAGCGACCTAGCTATCACCGTTTTGGACAAAAGCGGTGATGTGTTCACCGCAATTGTCCACTGCGGTGATTAGCTGACATATTTTCTTATAAAAATCGACCCTCACGTCCCTCCTGCTGCCTTACAGCAAATTAGTACAAAAATTAGTGATTTTTTGGTCGTTTTCTCAACTGGTTTGGAGTTGGTTTACAGCAACAAGAAACTCATCGGGATTCGGTATGTTATAATTATGTATTGTTTACATGTTGATGTATTAGTAATCATATGTCTGTATTTAGTGAATTGCGGTTATTGGCAAATATGCTATGAGATATTTAGATTAATTATGATATGATTGATGTTAGTTAGTTAGTTATGAAGTTAGCTGAATTTGTTTAGTTTTCTCATGATAGATCAATTAGTTGCAGTTGTTTATGGGTTTGGATGATATTGTTTTTGTATCCCTAATGTACTAATTATCTACAATACTTAATTATTATAAATTGCAGACATGGGTAAATTTAAGAAGTTTCGGCTTATTATTCGGTGGAATGGTCGGGTGACAAACTCGAACATTGGGATCGACTATGAAAATGGCGAATCCACTATGCTAAAAATTGACTCGAGATTCTCGTGGCAAGAACTCTGTGACATTTATGCAGAAAGGACCGCAAATGAGAGTTGGTCAAATTACTTACCGGTATCCAAACATGAGTGCTGACGGAATCATGTACGAAAAAGTTGTCATAAATGATGATGACGCGGTGAACATGATGATACAGTTCCTATCTGACAACGGGGAAAATTAATAATGAAAATCGACATGTGAAATCGCGTCCTCTCTAGATAGGGCGCTAGTTGAGCACGCCAACGGGGCAATCGACATGTCCCTCGATGACTGATGGGAATAAGTGATTCATACAAAACAAAAAACACAATGTTGTCAGTCAATAGAAAGCAAAATAAAAACTTTTAAACTAATGAAATAATTTTAAAAAACAGCGAAGAGTGTCTACCGGATTATTGTTCCAAATTGCACAGGAGCGATGTTGACCTTGCCCGGTTAAATACCTTCGATCCCTTGGGCCAGGATCGATATACAATCGAGGGTCATATATCTCAGCACCCATCTATAAAAAAATAAGAAATCAAATCAATTTATATTTCAGCACCCATTTAAAAAATCACAAAAGAAAAAAAATAAATTTACGTACTCTCAGAGCCTCTTCGTCCATTTTTGCCGAAAAGCTAGAGAGAGTATCGACAAAACAAAAACTCTAGTAATTCTTTATGATGCGGGAGATCGGACTTAGTCGCAACCATAGAGCATACTTAGAACGAAACTAGAGTGAAGTAATGGAGGGAGAAAGCAGTATAAAATGGTGGTGTGGTTTGGAATGAGGAGGGAGACTGGTATTTATAGGTTTTGGGCGCTGGAAAATTTTGGAGCATTAATCACCCCGTCCAACAAAAGCAGCGAAGTCACCGCCTTGAAGAAACACAGTGATGGCTCAGATAGGTGACGTGGCTCCATGTGAAGTGTCAGATCGTGGAGAAAACCCACAATCCGCGCCTCACCGCATCGGACGGTAACAGTGAAGGCGCGAACGACGCGGATCGATGACGTGGAAAGCGGGGCTACACCGCTTTTGTCATTAACGGTGAAGTGCCCGCGCTTGTCCACGTCAGCGATCCGTGCCACTTCACCGTTTTTTACATCAACGGTTAATATACATTCACCGCTTCCCTAATCAACGGACAAAACTTCCCCGTTGTTCACAAAAGCGGGGATTGTTTCCCCGTTTTTTCTCTTCAGCGGTGATAGCTTCACTGCTTTGGTCAAATGCGGGGATGTTCTCACCGTTTTAGTCTAAAACGGTGATTATCATCATTCTCTTCGTCATCGACAGTGATGTACAAACTGCTGTACTTTGGGAAATAATTTTATAAGTACTGTATTTAGGGATTTTTTTTTAAATAATTAGAGTATTCTGGGATTTTTTCCACACGCGAGACACCAAGTGAATATGGCGGCACACATTATGACACATAGTTATATAAGCTGGAATTCTCCAGTGGTGTGGGTTGACAGTCCTTCAAATTTCCTTGTTAATCAGCTGATTTTGGACAATGTAACGGTTTCATCTGATTAATGAGATAATCAGGTTCCATAAAAAAAATATTGA